GCTCAACTGTCTGAGCCACCCAGGCACCCCTGTATCACCTCATTTTAATACTTAAAACAATTTCATGGTAATGTAGGTACCATGAGGTAGGTGCTGGAATAATCCCCATTTTACAAATGAGGGAGAGGCACAGAGAGGTTAAGTAACTTGTCCAGGGTCACACAGCTAGCAAATGGAGGAGTGGGATTTGAATCCAGGCAGTCTGACTCTGAGGCCTGATAGAAAGCTGCAGATATTTTTCTCTGACATACAAGGAGGAGGGGTTTGGGATACTTGTTTATTAACTGGTTGTCTTAGTTTCTTACATTCAAGAGCTGCTGTTGACCAGGTTTGCTTTTCTTAAAGTGTTGCAATTAAGAAAACCTGCTGGTGGGCAGTGAATGGGACAAAGTGGATGGCTTCATGACCGTGGTTGGAAATGGGTCCCAGGCTGGCTGTGGAAAGGCCTCCTTCTCCTTGGTGTCTCCAGCAGGCCAAGGAGGGAAGTGCTGAGTGGGAAAGGACTATGACTATGGCCACATTACAGGAGTAGTTTGAGGAAACCAGGAAGCCATCCAGGGCAGCGTTGGGAGGCCCTTTGATCTTGCGCGGAGAATATTTCTTAAGTAGGAGACTCTGATGCTTTGGAAAGGAGGATCTCTGCTGGGGTCTGGAGTGAAAACAGCCATGAACAGGGGACTGACACAGTCCTAGGGACTGAAGAGAGGTTCAGAGCAGAGAAAAAGCAGCAGAGGAGCCTGATGTACGTGTGGGCTTTTGCGAGGTTCAGGTTTGTAGGCCATGCAGCGGGAATACTTTGAGCACAGCGGGCCTGGAGCCCAGGTCCGGTGTTACGGGCAAGTATTGGGAAAGATGAGCTAGCAGCGCGGAGAGCTTTGGGAAGACCGAGCCCCGAACAACCCATCGTTTTTGTTATGCATCTGGGTGTTGCCAGCGGGGGCTTGAGGTCTGGGGAGACTAGGGAGGCAGTTCTCGCCATTTCTGACATTCTGCTTCCAAACCTGGCCAAGTACTTCCTAACCTGTTTTATATTTCATTAGTTAATGAACTTCAGTTCAAGGATAAATTTAGCCCTGATGGGACTCTATGCAAACTCGATAAGCAAGTTATTTCCAACATAAATCCATCTCTGCTCCCCATCTTTCTTTATCCAGAACCTCTTTAAATCTCTTACCATTTAAGCTACTTCCTTTTAAAATTCTTTAGATCACCAGTCCCTTGGTGTGGGGACACACTGTCCAAACACAGGTAATTGTTGGCTTGTCCCTAGAATGAGTGATATTTGGTTTTTGTTTCTGTTTTTATGTTTTTGTGGGGTTTTTAAAGAATGAGTGATATTTTTAACGTTCAGAAAGGATAGCCGGTTAGGGGCTTATGCAGGAAAATACCATTGCCTGTCGTCTTCCCCTCTAGTATGTAGGCTATATCATTGCATTCTGTGCATTTTTTTTTTAAAGACTGTTAACCATATTTGTCCGCAAAGAATAGTTCATGTCGTTGTAAGTAGAAGGGAGTTAGGGGTTTTGGACTGGAGAAGGGGGTGGATTGGAGACTCAGATTACACTGAGAAGAAAAGAATTCAGTAATTTGATTAGAATGGTGTGGCTTCTTTTTTTTCTTTGAAAAATGGGATTTAAACCGAAGAGTACAACCTGTTTCATAGCAACATTCCAATGTGTCTGCTGCTGTTTCTGGTGTGGCTTTTTCTGCTCTTTTTTTTTTTTTTTTAATTTAATTTTATTATGTTATGTTAGTCACCATACATTACATCATTAGTTTTTGATTCGTTGTTTCTGTATAACACCCAGTGCTCCATGCAATACGTGCCCTCCTTAATACCCATCACTGGGCTAACCCATTCCCCCACCCCTCTCCCCTCTAGAACCCTCAGTTTGTTTCTGCTCTTGCAAAGCCCAGTGTTCTCTTCAGATAACTTCCTCTGAGTCCCAGGTACTATGTGAGAATTGTTGTTTCACAGCTTCTCCGTGATATTCCAAACAAACATATTAACTTGGGCTTCTTTTTTACTGTCTTGATGGCAAATTCTCACCATCCTTTATGCTATTCTCCAGTCATGGTACCTCATGCTCCATCTCTTCTTCCTACACTCCCATTCACCATATAACCTTCCACAGCTCCTTACTTCCTACCTCTATTAATTTTCTGTTGCTGCATAACAGATTACCACAAACTTCTGGCTCAAAATAACATGCACTTATGATTTCCCAGTTTCCATGGGTACAGCTTCTTCCGGTCCTGTGCACAAGGTCTGTTACAAGGCTGCAGTTGTCTTGTCAGCTGGGCTGTGTTCTCATCTGGAAGCTTGGCTGGGGAAGGATCTACTTCCAAGTTTACTCAGGTTGTTGGCAGAATTCATTTCCTTATGGCTTCCATATCGAAGGGCCTAGCTTCTTGCTGGCTGTCAGTGGGAAACCAGCCTCACCTCTGAGAGGCTGCTCATAGTTCCTGGAGATGGCCTGCAATTCTAGAAGCTACCTACAGCCCTTTGCCACATGGGCTTTCCTAGTATGGCCTCTTATTTCATCAGGCCATCAAGGACAGCAAGTCTACTAGCAAGACTGAGTCTTAGATGATATAAACACAAGTGTAATATCCCATCACCTTTGCCATATTCTATTGGTTAGAAGCAAGTCACAGGTCTTGCTCATACTCAAGAAGAGGGGTCATGCAAAGACATGACCACCAGGAGACAGGGATCATGGGAATCCTGTAGAGTGTGTCAAATGCACTCCTATATGCAACCTGTATCACACTTCTACTTCACTGCCTTTTTTTGAGTGTTTTAAGCTTTCTGTAATTTGGTTTTGTCCTACTTCTCTTAATTTACTTCTCTCTTCTTAATAAATTACCTCTCATTTCCCCCTCAAGATTTTTTCTTCCCTTTCTGCCCTTACCATGTTAGGTCAATTAATACAAATATATTTTATTTATTAGCACTGACATAATTTTAAAATCTTGTGTATAAAGCAGAAGTAATTTTCATTGAAATGAAGAGTTCTTAGCTGTGTTTTGTCTTCTGAATCCTTTTGAGAATCTCATTAAAGCTATAGAGATTCATTTCCCAGAAGTGAGGGACACAATCCTGTATTGTTTCAGTTATTATTGCTGCATAGCAAAGCACCCCTAGCTTAGTGTGGTAAAATAGCAACCATTTTTTTTTTTTTTTAGATTTTATTTGTTTATTTGACAGAGAGAGACAGATAGTGACAGAGATAGCGAGAGAGAGCACAAGCAGGGGGAAGAGGCAAAGGGAGAGGGAGACGGAGAAGCAGGCTCCCTGTGGAGCAGGGAACCAGACGTGGGGCTCGATCCCAGGACCCTGGGATCATGACCTGAGCTGAAGGCTGACGCTTAACGACTGAGCCACCCAGGGACCCCAAATAGCAACCATTTTATAATGCTCATGGTTTCAGGAATCCAGACAGAGCACAGTGAAGAAGGCTTGTCTCTGCTTCATGATTCTTGGGGACTCAGGAGGGAAGACTGAAACAGCCAGGGTGACTTGAATGGTTAGGGACTAGAATTCCCTGCAGGCTTCTTCATTCACATGGGCAGGGATGACTGGGAGTCTTGGCTCAGCTGGGACTGGAGTACTTATACATGGCCTCTCCATGTGGCTTGGGCTGCTCACCAGTGGTGGTGGCTCCAGGAGGGAGAGCAAGGGAGTATATGGAGAGCAAGCCTTCCAAGAGGCCAAGTGGAAGCTGCCTGGCCTTTTGTGATGGTAGCCTTGGAAGCCACATGGCATTGCTTCTGCCACACTGAAATTGACTGAATGGTCTCAAGCCCACTCGGCTCCAGGTGGAGGGGACATAGACCTAACCTGTTAATGAGAGGCATATAGGAGAAATTGCAGCCATTAAAAACACACACACACACATATACAAACACAAATATATTTAAAGGACTAGATTATCTGAGAATTGAAAGGGGTCATAGAGGATGATCTATTTCGGTCCTCTACCATAGCTCAATTCCTTCAAACAACTTTCTAGTCATCCCATGCTTGGACCACTGTGGGGGCAGAGGGATTCCTTCTGGTCTCTCCTGTCATCCACTCCCACCCCTTTCCAGTCTGTTCTGTTCTTCACTCCATAACCAGAATGCTTGTTCTAAAACACAGATTTGCTCCTGTACATCACCCATCTTCACCTCCCCACCCCACTCCACTTCAAACCAGATTTTCTAACTTCAGTTCTCCTTGGCTTGTTTCTGTCAGATTGTTCTAACATTTTTAGGTAGTAATGGAGAAAGCTCTAGAAGTACCTTTTCTTTTTTACTTTTAATTTAAAATATGACTTAAGGGCACTTACTGGGGTCATGAACGCCATCAACACTGCAGAACCATGGAAAGGGGACCAGAGAATCATCAAGCAGGATTGTTTCTCTTCCCGAGCGTGAAATTTCCAGCTTTCTGCTCACTTATGTTCTTGCCTCCTTTCCTGTGGAGCTCACCATTTTGTGCCTTTCTCTTCTTTCCTTTCTGCCTGCAGCTTTGCACAGGAAATGTTGGTGCTGACAGTCTGATTTCTCTGTAGGTGCTTGCAGTGACACTGGGTCTTGTGAGATGTCTCCAGTCCTCGTTGGATGTGCATAGTTTATCTTTCAGAGAGAGAAAGATGTCACTGGGGCTATCTTTCCAAGCATAGACAACCTCAGTTATTTGGCTGGAGAGGACTCAGGGTCCTAAAAACACATTTGCATCCAGATACACTGTCCTTTCATTTTGCATTTTGGGTTTCTTGCATGAGGTTTATTTTGGTATCATTGGCCACGGCAGGTAGTCACGTTGATCTTCGATTTTCTAGGTTGTGAGTTTTACAGTCCAACCCTTGTAGGTGGTACAGAAAAAAAGATTTAAGATACACAGGTATCTTCTCCATCTTTGCTCAAATATCACTTCATCAGAGACTGTTGCTCACATACCTGCCCCGTAGGGTAGCTCAGCATTTGCATCTGTGCAATTACGTCATTGTCTGAATATGGTTAATGAGTCTTCTGTGCTAGGGTGACAGCTCTGTGAGATGGGAGCAGTGTCTGCCTTGCCCACCCCTTCTCTCCAGGACCTTCCACTGCAGGCATTTGATGACCAGCTGATGCCTGATCGTGTGGTATTTTGTTTCACAGGAATAGACAATCTACAGATAACAGTCAGCCCAACCCCGGAGTCATTTCCTCATGGGAAAGTGTTACCGATTGCACCAACATGGCCTTTCTCCGAAGTCCAGTCTTCCTCGGCAGTGGCCAGAATCCAGAATGTGCTGGGACCGTCCCCTGACAACACGAGCGTGCTGCAGTTCCCCCGAACACCTCCTCCCAAGACACACCGCAGAGCTAGGGCTCACGGGGACTTCTCTTCCTCCCCTTACCAAGGAAGTGGCCATAGCACCTCCCTCGAGCCTTCCAAGGATTCCACGGAGTCTGTGGTCCAGCCGAGACCTCAAGGGGGAAAAGACACAACCTCCGTGTCAGGTTTGCCTCACACCAGCATGCTCCCCTCATTGTCCATGACCCCATCTCAGCCAGTATGGGTAGGGACTCCTTCCATTTCAACACAACATTCCCCAAGATCAGACATGCTCCCATTTTTCCCTCCACCTTCATCCTCTTCATTGCCTCCTGACTCACCTCATTCCATCATCTTTTCTAAACCAGCCGAACGACCCACCCAAGTGCCTTTCTTCCCCCAAACAGCTCCACCTGTCTCCTCGTCAAGTCAGAGCATAGCTAATTCCCCAAGCCCATTTGCTGGTGAAATGAACCACACTCGGTCCAAAAATGCCCAGGATTTGATAGGCATCCCTCATCTAGGTTTTTCTGGATCCTCAGCAGTGCAGCGGCCCGAGCTGCGCCCCACAGCCAGTCCTCACTCTGCGGGCTCCCCCACACCTGAGTTTTTGAGCTCCGTGGCAGAACTGGCCCCTCTGCCTCCCCCTGCCCTGGTGCCTGGAAGTCTTCCTTGGCTTCCAGATGGACCTCCCTCATGGTCAGTGTAGGAAGTGGCTTCCAGTCCCACATCCACCCACCCCGTCGAAGCTGGGCTGGCTGAAGGAGTGCACAGTGGGGTGTCTTTGCCTACTGCTAAGAGTGCAGCCGCGGCAGCAGGGACCCAGGAGGCTGTGTCTTCACTTTTCCAGACTGCAGAATCAGTGGCAGTGGAAACGACCAGCAGAAAGCTAGCCCCTGCTACCGCAAATGACTCCACTCACCCACGGCATTTGTCAGCAGCTCCAGAGAATTCCGAAGGGCCCATCCTTTCGGCAGAACACACGGCTTCTTCGTTGGTGCCTTCTCCTCTGCCTCTCCCCACTGCCAGCAGAGGGCAAGCCGTCCTTCCTGGGGCATGGAAAAGCACAGCAGCAGCCTTTCCCTCAGCTCCCACTTTCCCCCAGCTGCTACAGATTCATGCCTCCCCATCCACGGCGCCCCAAATGCCAACTCCTCAAGAGGAGGGCACCGACGGAGCCCCTCCTGCCGTGGCTACAGACCTCCCCCTCTCAAGCAAATCCCCCGATCTTCTTTCCACGACTTGGGTCTTTCCCCTGTGGGAAGAAAAGAGCGTGAAAACTGTTTTAAAGAAAAACGAAAAGGCAAATTTGACAGTTGCTCTCCAGACCCTTCCAAGTAAAGAGATTCCAAATCTTCACACTGTAAATGGGTTCACCTCTGATTCCAGCACTGATCATATTTCATCTTTTTTCATTACAACACTAAGAACAAACCTCCCTACAGAATTAGCTCTCCCTTCCATGCCCTCCATACGAGCACCCAGACTATTTCCCCATCCCCCAGCTCGTCCAACATCAACCCAGAGGCTCATGCAGCTGTGGTAGACCACTCTGAGTCGCCAGTCTCAACTTCCCAGCAGGTGACAGCATTTCCCTCCTCCGCTGAGGTCTATGATTTCTCAACAATGAGACATGTGAAAAAGCCAGCAACCACAGATGTTTTCTGGAGTTCTCTTCCCACAGAAACTGGATCCCTCTCCATAGAGCCAATGATATCTGGCTTGCTGCAGCAAACAAATTATGATTTAAATGGGCACACAATTAACTCCAGCAGTTGGGAAACTCATTCAGCTTCAACTCCTCCTCCCAGTGGTTCAACTTGAGCTGCCAGTACAATAAAATCTTCAGATTTCAGAGCTACTGCTGGGCATTTAGTGACTGCAGAAGGCTTTAACATTCAGCTTCCAGTCCTTCGTACAAGCCCCAGCCAGCCCATTCAACAGTCAGAGGTTACCATGGTTGGAAACCATACAGACTTCGTGTCCATAACTGGTAACCATTCCAGAGACTTCCAAACAGCTGCGGTTGGAGAGTACCCATCTGCAAGCCAACATGCTGCATCTTGTCCCCACCTGCAGCTGCCTGTGCATCCAACACGTGCTCTTTCTCCAGCTTCTCCAAGGCTGACTTCCACAGCCAGCTTGCACGAAGTGCTTTCAGATGGGAGGGATACGAGTCTCTCCATTTCCAGTGACATCTCTCCATCTCCTGTGATAAGCGCTTCTCCACCATTCCAGAGTCTCTTGAGATATCACACTATGGCTGAATCTCCTCCTCTATCAACCAGGGCCGGATTCAGGACCCTGTCCAAAGTGCGGCTGGCTTCTCAGGGCCCCGACAAATGGACAGCCACTCATACAGGTAGTTTGTTTTCCGGTACCTCCAAAACAGGTATGACTGCTTCTGTGGACAAAGGATCTTCAAGTTCAACACAGATACCCAGCTTTGCTTAGAAGGAGCAGAAACACACTTTGAGGATAATGAACGAGTTAGCAACCCCAGAGAGCATGTCCTCGATCCTCTGCTGACTTGAGTTTTTTGAAAGTACAGTCAGTCTCCAACTTACAATGGTTCGACTTACAATTTTTCAGCTTATAACGGCGTGAAAGTAATAGGCATTCAGTTGAAATCCTACTTTGAATTTTGAACTTGGATCTTTTCCCGGGCTAGCGATGAGTGTGATCCTCTCTGGTGACGCTGGGCAGGGCAGCGAGTCACAGCTCCCGGTCGGCCTTGCGATCACGAGGGTCGACAATGATACAATTCCAACCCTCCTGTACCCACACAACTATTTCTTCACTTTCAGTACGGTATTCCACAAATTACATGAGATACTCAACACTTTATTATAAAATCGGCTTGTGTCAGACGATTTTGCCCAACTGTAGGATAAGGGAAGTATTGTGAGCATGGTGAAGGTGGGCCAGGCTAAGCTATGGTGTTTGGTAGGTTAGGTGTATTACATGCATTTTTGATTTATGATATTTTCAACTTACGATGGGTTCATTAGGACATAACCCCATCGTAAGGCAAGGAAGATCTGTATTCAGAATTTAAATGTCCTTCTTGCCAACCACAGGTTTCTGTAAGTGGCACCCTCACTATGGGTAGCTGACTTAATGAACCTAGAGCTGTTTTGCCTAAATTCCAGAGCACAGAGACTTCACACCAGCAGACCCGTAAGTTCCATCCATCCGTCACCACCACAAGTGACAGACTTTGCTTTTTTTCTCTTTGCAGCAGAACCCTCAGTGTCGTCCAGGGCGGAACCGACAGCAGCAACAGCAGTAGCCACGTCGTCCCTGGGGAAATCAAGTCCACAGGCGCTGTCTGCAGCCCTGGTCGCCAAGGGCCCCGGCAGCAGCCCGGCAGCCATGGCCTCGGGATTAGTCAAGAGCAGTTGGACCACTGCCCTAGCTAAAAATGCCACAAACAGCGCAGCGCCTGGCCCAAAGACGACAGCGGGGGCGGTGCATCCGGCCTTCTCATTCACACCAACCTACATGTTTGCAAGAACAGCACACACCGTGAGTGCTCATACAGCCATGCAAGGCAACCCAGGCACTGCCTTGGGCCTGCTGTCCACAACACACCTCCCCAGGAAACCGCAAGCCATGCACACGGGCCTCCCAAAGCCCACCAACCCGGACATGCCCAGGGCATCCACCGCACGCCCGCTGACCAGCACAGCAGCCTTGACGTCCGTCACCGCCCCAGTGAGGGCCACCCGCATGCCACCTGCACTAGCAGGAAATACAGACGCCGCTCTTCCCGCTGCGTCGACTGCCGGGGTCACCACCGGCAAAATGGCATCCAACCTGGAGTGTCAGATGTCCAGTAAGCTCCTGGTGAAGACAGGTGAGAGAAAGCAGCAGAATTATGTAGCAGAAGTATTTGATTTCTTTGAGATGAGTGGGTCTTAACCAGGAACAGTTTTGCTCCTTCTCCCCCCAGACGGCATTTGTGGCCATGTCTGGAGACGTTTTGGGGTGTCTGTGACTTGGAGGGTAGGGGGAGTGCTACTGGCATGTAATGAGACAGAGACCAGGATGCTACTAAACCCCACAGGGCACAGGACGGTCCTACAGCAAAGGATAATCCAGCCCCAAATGTCACAGTGCTGAGGTTGACAACCCCTGGTCCTTATCATAAGTGACAGAGGAGAGGGGGAGCTTTGTGTGACACGGAATCTAGTCCCGGGATCAGTCCTGATATCAGAGGCCCCCCGGGGAAACCATTTCTGCCAGGAGGCCTGAGAAGACGAACGTGTAGCAAGTTTTGCCTGTAGAACAAATCAGGGATGTCTCACATGAATGAATGAAGTGGTTAGTAAAATATCAAATCTTGGAAGCACTACATAATTCAACCGACTGAGCCACTCAGGCGCCCCCAGAAAGGCTTTTGTTATGTATTTTTTCAGCCAGCGGATAATAAAAGTACAGCTGCATGATGAGGGTGCCCAGGATTTCTTTTGATGTTGAAAAGGAGGCCTTGAGAAAGTTGGGTGGTGACTGCTATCTCGAGCCCCCACCTCCCAGTTGCAGCCAAGCAGGGCAGGAAGGCCCAAGCTGCTTTTAACAGTGTGGTAGTGTTTGCTATAAAAAGCATTAGACACATTATTTGAGAGAGCATGCCAATGCTGAATGCTCGAGTCCTGCCTTCCTCTTCACCCCACAAAGGATTAAATGAAATTATATCTTGAGATGTACCCTATTCTAAAATGGGAAATTGTGAAACTAGGCATAGCAGGAAGTACAGTATCGCTTTCTATTTCTCAAGAAATTATACCATCTGGTTTTCCATTCCTCTTCCTCTGAGAGGCAGGCCACCCCAACACCTAGGTGCAGAAGTCTGGAACATTCTCCCCCCATTCTCTATCACCCCCTGTCACCCCAGCCACACCTGGTCAACCACGGGGGCCCTTCAGTTCTAACTCCCTGAATACCCCTTCTCTCCACCCCCCACTGCCCCTTCCCTGGTTCACCCTGTCATCACCCACCTCAATTTCTGCAACAAAAACCAAATTTATCTCTCTGCCTTTGACTAGCCGCCCCCCCCTCCAATCTGTTCTCCAGTCTGCAGGCAATGGAACTCTGTAAAATTTATGCCTTTGCTTAAAACCTTTCACTTCCTGTTGCCCGCAGGACCAAGCCTAAACATGTATACTGAGAGGCTTCGCTTCTCACCACTGTGCCTTTGCACTTGGTCTTCTCTCTGCTGGGAGCAGGGTGGGGCGGTCCCTCTCCCCTTGGCCTGCTCATTCCCTATTATCCTTCAGGACTCAGCAGAAACTTCAGGAAACCTTCCTTGAACCCCACCCCCTTGCCCAAGTCCGGGCTGGACGTTCCTCCTAAGGCCTTCGACAGCATCGGAGGCTTCCCTTCAAATAGTGCCTGTCACCTTTAATCACAGGTGCCTATTGCCCACCCCGGGTCTCCATCCCGCTCTCTGTCCATCTTGTGGGGTGTGGGGCTGCCCCTTCCCGATTCAGGGCTGTTTTAGGCTGCAGGACCTCACTCAGGGCGTGCACGTCAGCAGGCTGACGGGAAACGCTGTTGCAGGAATTTTCTTGCATGCATTTTCTTGCAGACCCATTAGGACCAGGCACCGCTGAACCCAGTTTTCAAAGTCGAAGGCAGCGTTGGTCAGAAATGAAGTGCAGCCAGCATATTCGCTCTCTCTCCTCTAGGGTCACACAAATACGAGGGCCTCCCTTCCCGGTACTTGAGTGGGACCAACAGAACTACTACCGTAGCCTACCGCCCCCATTGGCTGGACCTGCGCTCACCAGCTCTATTCAGAACTTGGCAGGAGGTGGAGGGTGGAGAGGAGAGGGGAGCTCAGTAATGAGGGGCTCTGCTGCCTTACCCTGACTACCGTGCTTCTGCTTGGTCCCACAGTTCTCTTTCTGACCCAGAGGAGAGCACAGATCGGTGAAACCTTGAAGTTCAGTGTAGCCAAAGGGCTCACGCAGGCATTACGGAAGGCTTTCCATCAGAACGACGTCTCAGCTCACGTAAGCCCCTCGCCTTTGTAATTAGACTAAGCTGTCCACATCCTCCTCTTGGGCCCAGAGTTTGTTTAGATTGTTTTCCTCCTCCCTGGGTACCGTAACCGGACTTGTCAGAAGTAGCATGTTTCTTCATTTCGGCAAACAGCCAATGTGTGGTGACTGGGGAGAAAAAGGTCAAATTTTGAGATGGAAAAATGGAAGTTAATTGCCTTATATCTATTATTTTTTCAAGCCCAGATATACTGTTTTAAATTGTCCCATTATCCTATTGTTTAGGGAAAGTATTTAATATTGTTAGTGTAATTCTCAAGAAACTGTCCATTGCTTTTCAAACCTTTATCTTCCTCAGCATTGTAAATAATGATTTATTTCTGGACATTTAAAAATTATTGTAAATTGAGTCCAAACTTTGCTTCAATAGCCAGCAGGAGACAGGGAAATAAGCATTTTTCCCCCAAGCACTTTAATGCCAAGTACTATTTAACAACTGCCAACTGATTTCCATGGCATATCCAAGCGATGGAAGCCTTGCTTTGCACTCTTTGGGATTGATGCCAAGTTTTAAAGCCCTAAATGTGATTGGCAGTTGGTGGACAACCATTTTCACCACTTTAAAAATACTGCTCTGGCTCTTTTCCTTTGAGGCTTGTCCTGCAGCTGCATTCAGCTTCGTGGTCTCCATGACCACACCAAGGACTAGGAATGAGGTTTGGTACATAGTTTATTGGTCATTGTCAATCTCTTTTTTTTGGGGGGGGGGTTGGGAGGAGCAGAGGGAGAGGGAGAGAATCTCAAGCAGACTCTTAGCTGAGCATGGACTTCGACACAGGGCTCAATACCATGACCCTGAGGTCATGACCTGAGCTGAAACCAAGAGTCAGATGCTCAACGGACTGAGCCACCCAGGCGCCCCTGTCAATCCCTTTTATATAATTCTGAGAGGAAAAAAAAAAAAAAAGAAATGCATTTCGTGAAAAGCATCTGTGGTTTCTGTACCAGAAACTTCACTTGAAAGTTGAAAATGTGAGTATTTGTATTTGGTCATCTGACATGTAATTTTCACCAAACTTCAGTTGTTTGCAAACTACCTTCAGTGTTCACCTTTTCTGCATATCATCGCAGACCACTGTGACAATTAGTTATGAATTCATTTTTAAAAATCAGCCCATTTTTAAAAACTTTTGAAAGGATGTTTGATAGTACTGCCATGAGTGGAAATCGGGATCATTTGCCACAAATAAAAGGTAATCATAAAAATGAGAATAATGGTAATGACTTGGTAAATTCAAGCTAAATATTGTTGCTTGAGGAAGGCCCTAAAGCTGATGTCCCTGGGGTATTTTTGTTTAAAAATATGATTAGCGAGCATTAGAGAGGTACTAAAAATAAAAATAATCCCCAAACTGAGACTTGCTCCTGAACGTCATTAGGATTGGAGTGGGAGTCACTTTCTTAGCCACTTTCTTAATCACTTTCTCTTAAATAAAGAAATAAATCTTTTTAAAAAAACACTAAGAAAGCAAAATAAAATAAGAATAAAATCTAAAGCCTCAAAATCTTCCAGTTGGGTCAGAAAGAAGTCAGTGCATCAGTGTCTCTTAAGACTCAGTTTTAAGAGAGACTCTCCATGGCTCATCCCCATCCCCACCTCAGTCTTGAACCAACTTACAAGCCAGGAATGGAGTGAAGTCTGAACAGTTCTTCTCTTAGCTTTTAGAAAGAGGAATTTACCTCATTTACTACCTAATCCCTGTCCTGAAGAAGCCCCCACTTCATCTATTATCTCTGCCTTTTAATTTTCATAAATAATGAGAGCTATAATAAAGCTGTCTTTCCCAGCATTTCATCTCTGGAAATCTCTTTTGCCTGCCATCTCCTCTCCGCCTTCTTGGGTGACCGTTGGTGCTCACAGGATTATCCTGAGGCATTTAAGGAATCAAGGAAACCCCCACCAGATTTAATGCGATTCCATGGAAGTTGGAAATAAATTGTATTTTGTTGTATTCTGGTATTTTGAGACTTGCCAATCCACATATGCTTTATCGGATTATTAGAATGTTTGCTGAGTGAGAACGTCTTATTCCCCAGCCCTGCTAAATAACAGTTGTGGTCCTAAGAAATACCAAGAAAAACTTAAAGTACTGTGGAAATAAACACTGAGTTCTGTGGCTCTGTTTGTTTTGTAGGTGGACATTCTGGAACATTCTCATAACGTCACTGTTGGTTATTATGCTACCAAAGGGAGGCTGGTGTACTTGCCTGCTGTAGTGATCGAAATGCTGGGTGTTTATGGGGTCAGCAACGTCACTGCAGATCTGAAGCAACATACCCCAAACTTGCAGTCGGTGGCAGTCCTTGCCTCCCCGTGGAACCCCCAGCCTGCAGGCTACTTCCAGCTGAGAACAGGCAAGTACCTCAGAAGGAAAGGATTCCTGTCCATTCCGGGATCGGGGGCTGTATCAAGAGGACACCTATTTAAACACTTCGGTGCTAGCTGCTTTATCATCTCTTTAAAAGTCCTGTGTGCCTTCCTCAAAGGGCCCTGCTAATCAACTGTCCCGGCTCCCTGCACAGAAACCTAACCTTCCAACCCTGGATTTATTAGAAATAGTCCTTCGCGGGAGCCTTCCTTCTCAACTCATATAATTAGTACTTTATGAGCAACAAGCAGCGTATTTTTAATTTTTTTCTGTATTACCAGTGGATACTGTATTACCACTGTATTACCAGTGGATACTGATAAGAGCTGAGCATCCATAAAATCTATGCTTTGGAGAAGCACATTTCAGATGCCCCTGAATCAGAATCTCTGAGCTGAGGCCTTGGAATCTTCCTTTCAAGCTCTCTCGTGATTCTGATCAGGTGGTTGGCAAACCACAGGAGTGGAGAAACCATTGAAATTGAAAGATTTGATCAACTTAGTGATACAGGTCAATTGACTCCCCCCCCCCAAAGAAATAGAAGGCATGATCTCGCTTTGATTGTTTTTTATCATTCTTGGAGCAGGTATCTGCATAGTCCAACCAAATGATCACAAAATCTTTTCCATTAAGGGGAACCTCAGGTTTGATCATGCTTTTAATTCTTCTCTATTACAAATCATTTTAAGAGCCACTTCCAAAGGTACAACCAAACCTTGTCAGTCCTTGTTTGCCTGATTTCTCGGATATAAAATCATGCTGTTTTATAAGATGACTGCTGTGAAGTCCAAGGAACTTAGACACACAACTTTGGCGAGTGCTGATTTATTACTCTCATCCTAGTGCTGCAGTTTGTGAGCCAATCCGACAACATCCAGTCCTGCAAGTTTGCTCAGACGATGGAACAGAGACTGCAGAAGGCCTTCCAGGATGCTGAGAGGAAAGTCCTGAATACCAAAAGCAACCTGACAATTCAGGTGAGGAGGAGGGCTCTTCAACTGTGTAGTTGACAGAGGCCAAGCATAATGCGAATGTTGGCAAGAAGTGACTTGGTTTCCTGTTTCAAAACTGCCTTGTGTAAATATAACTTTGTACTTAGGGCGGGTGACATAGACAGGAGGAGGTGCCACTCTGGGGCCCCTGAGTCGAGTCAGTCCCAGCATTGGTGAGGATGTCTGCGGTATGGCCATGACTGTTTTGCCACAACCTGCTATGGTTTGGGATTTTGTATTTATTTTCCCATGTGAAGCTTCCTCAGGCCTTCCCAATACATTTGCTATTTTGTTTTATTTTGTATTGTTTGTTTGTTTGTTTGTTTAGAGAGAGAGAGAGCACACGTGTACATAGGCACACACGAGTAGGGGGAGGGGCAGAGGAAGAGGGAGAGAGAATCCCAAACAGGCTCCATGCCCATTGTGGAGCCTGACGTGAGGCTCGATCTCATGACCCTGAGATCATGACCTGAGCTGAAATCAAGTCGGACATTTAACCGACTGAGCCCCCAATATATTTACTATTTTAAAAATTGAACTAGATATACCATATAAGATACAGTCCCATAAAAATGAATCAAATGTTTCATAAAATGAGTCAATTCTAAATAGCTAACACATCAAGATTTGCCTATCCTGTGATTTGCTTTGAGTTATTTTCTAGATACCCACATGAACAATCACCTTAGTTTAAACACATACACACACACATACACACACACATATACACATTTTATATTTGGGGCTCACTATATGCCAGGACTGTGCTAGGTGTTGTAGAAATATTTTGCTACATAATACTCAAGACATCCTTCTGAAGTATTATTATCACCATTTCAAAAACGGAACTGAGAGTCTAAGAAACTTCCAGAAAGTCACACGGTTGGTAAAGAAGGAAACAAGGACTTGAGTCAAAGCCCATAATCTTATACACTATGCTATACTATGGAACTTTTGGCAAACACATGAATTTTTCCTGGGAAAATCCCACTCCTGGTATACTATATTTCAGTTTCCTGACTTACAGTAGATGTGCCACCAAAAGCTTTTCTCAGACCCACTTTTTTGCAATTATATAACTAACATCCCACTAAAGACAGATGCTTTTTCTTTTAAGTAAGCTCCACACCCTGCATGGAGCCCAGTGTAGGGCTTAAACGTGACCCTGAGATCAACACCTGAGCTGAGATCAAGAGTCCGACACTCAATTGACTGAGCCACCCAGGCGCCCCAAGACAGATGCTTTTTAATGATATTCATCCAAATTTCTCTGATTAACTGTACAACCCAATGTCTCTGTTTTTACCGAAATAAATCCTTTGCAATTAAATCCAGTGGTTTTGAAATTGACATTTAGCATAAGTGAATTATCAGCAAAGCCGATATGATGTAGAAAGCATACAATTTAATTTGAACGAGCAGCTTTCCTTTTCTAGATTTATCCAAAGTCTATATGGAAGTATCTCATTATGATTCGGTTCATATTAGATTAAGATCTAAAAATGTGTCACAAACATAAGATTTATGTAAGAAGTATGACTCAGCTCCCTTGTGGGAGATCGTTTTCTTTCTGATTGGATTTGTGATCCTCACAGGTGCATGATTCTAGTTAGGGCTTGGCGGCAGAGCATACTCTGATTGTTTTCAGGAAGCACAGGCCCATTGAGCACCTGCTGTTTATCAGGCACTGGGAGAGACACCAAGATAAATAAGCTGCCTTTGGCCTTAAGAAGACACTCTGTGTTGGAGCGCCTGGGTGGCTCAGTCGTTAAGCGTCTGCCTTCGGCTCGGGTCGTGATCCCAGGGTCCTGGGATCAAGCCCCACATCAGGCTCCCTGCTCTGTGGGAAGCCTGCTTCTCCCTCTCCCACTCCCCCTGCTTGTGTTCCCTCTCTCGCTGTGTCTCTCTCTGTCAAATAAATAAAATCTTAAAAAAAAAAAGAAGAAGACACTCTGTGTTATATGATAGTCGTGGGCCATGCAATGAAACTTTGTAAAGTAAGTAACAAAGTTTCCTTGGAAAAGACAATAACAATTTGAAAATTGCATCTAAATAGATTTTAGATGCTCTTGAACATTTCAGCAGGTCTTGAAATGAATGGATAATTGGGCGAATTGTTTCATTAACCCTGTTTTGCTTTTTGCCATGGCTGACAGGAACCCCAGAACCCATTTGTTGCCTGGAGTTTGGAACCCTCTAGGTCCCTATATCATGCATATATGTAGCTACATGCTAACCATCCCCCTGGGCTTGTTGCAGGACCTGGTTTTGTAATTAATAACTTTCCATTTAATGTATTAAGTATAATTTGCAGGGCACCTTGGATTCTTTCTGGACCACATAAATATTTAATTTGTTCAGAAAGTCATTGAAAAAGCAACTTTTTTTTAAACTTGTATAGCATTGGTATTAGGGGCTAGATTGCAGTAGACTCAGTTAGGACCTTTTTGGTTGTGAATGACAGAATCCAAGCACAAGACTTAAGCAAAAAGAAGTAATTGGCTCCTATAACTGAAAGGTTCACAGCATATTTCCTTCAGGCCCAGTTTGGTTCAGGTGCTTATATGATTTCTTCGAGAAGTTCTCTCTTTGTCTCTTGGCCTTGCCTGGGCTGGTATCATCTTCAGGCCCAGGGATGGTGGCCCCTGGCACCTTCAGGTTTGTTTCATCCTTATTGCTCACAGTCTTATGGAACCAAAGTGCCTTTTTTGGTGGCCTTCCAGTAAAAATCCTGGGATTAACTCTCATTGGACCCACTTGGACTATGTGCCCATTTCTGAAGCAGTAACTATGGCCAAGGAGATATAATGTCCCAATCAACTAGGCCTGACTATCCCCACTCCTAGAACTTAGGGAAGCCCCACCCAAACAAAGCCCATGAACCCAGGTGGAGAGAAGAGGTGTTTCCCCGAGGAAATCTCCTTCATAGAAAAAAGGAGAATGGATGTTGGGTAGGCAAAACAATAGCCTTCCATTCTGCCAGCCTCTTTTAGGTCTAATTAGCTAAATGAATTATGGCATGAGTGAGTGGGAAGTAAGAGAATGTCAGAAGCCACAGGAGACTAAGAGTAAAGGGGTAGTGGGAAAGTGCCCCCTGTAGGGGCTGCTTCTACTGGGGATAGGACATGACTTTCAGGGAACACTGAAATGACCTGGGTCTCAGGCCTGTGAACATCTTATTGATGAAGCTAGTGTTAAGTAGCCACCAAGATTGGTCACACTTTTCTTAGCTATAAAAAATGAGAATACTAAAGAAGACCAAAAAAAAAAAAAAAAAAAAAAAGATTATCTGTGCTCATGAATTGGAAGACTTGATTTTGTTAAGATGTCAGTACTGCCAAGAGTGATCTACAGATTCTGTGCAATCCCTATCAAAATCTCAGTGATTTTTTTTTGCAGAGATAGAAAAATGCATCCTAGAATTCATATGGAATCTCAAAGAACCATGAATAGCCAAAACAGTCTTGAAAAAGAAAAGCATAGTTGGAGGTTTCATGCTTTCTGATTGCAAAACTTACTACAGAGCTATAATAATCAGAACCCTGTGGTACTGGCATAAAGACAGACATATAGACGAATGAAACAGAAGAGAGAACGCAATAGTAGATCTTTGCATATATGGTCAAATGATTTTTGACAAGGGTGCCAAGACCACTCAGTGCGGAAAAGACAGTCTTTTCAACCAATGGTATTGGAAAACTGGATATCCACAAACAAAAGAATGAAATTGGACCCTTATCTGACACCATATACAAAAATTAACTTCAAAGTGAATCAAAGACCTAAACCTGAGAGCCAGAACTAGAAGACTCTTAGAAGAAAATAGAGGAGAAAATTTCATGGTATTGAATTTGGCTATGATTTCCTGGAAATGACACCAAAAGTATAGGCAACAAAAGAAGACGTAGATAGGGTGCCTGGGTGGCTCAGTCGGTTAAGCGTCTGCCTTCGGCTCAGGTCATGATCCTGGAGTCCTGGGATCGAGTCCCGCATCGGGCTCCCTGCTTGGCGGGGAGTCTGCTTCTCCCTCTGACCCTCCCCCCTTTCATGTGCTCTCTCTCATTCTCTTTCTCTCAAATAAATAAATAAAATCTTAAAAAAAAAAAAAGAAAAAGAAGACGTAGATAAATTGGACCTCACCAAAATTAAACACTTCTGTGGATCAAAGGACACAACTGATGATCAAAAGGCAACCTACAGAACAGGAGAAACTATTTGACGATCATATATTGGATAGGGGGTTAACATCTAGAATATATAAAGAACCCGTACAACTTAAAAGCATAATAACAACCCCATAAAGAAATGAGCAAAGAGCTTGAATAGACATTTTTCCAAAGAAGATCTACAGATGATCAATAAGCACATGAAAAAGAGGCTCGATAGGACTCATCATGAAATGCAAATCAAAACCATGAGAAAGTACTTCGCATCTGTTAGGATGGCTATTATTAAAAAAAGAGAATAACAAGTGTTGGTAAGAATGTGGACGAACTGGAACCCTATACGCTGCTGGTGAGCTCAAATGTTGTAGCTCTGTGGAAAACGGTATAGTGGTTCCTTAAAAAATTAAACATCTAGCAATTCTGCTTCTGGGTATATGCCCAAAAGAATCGAAAGCAGGGACTTGAACAGATATTTGTACACCCACGTTCACAGTGGCATCATTCACATTAGCCAAAAGGTGGAAGCAAACCCAGTGTCCATGCACAGATGAATGGCTGAGAAATGTGGTATATACATACAGTGGACTGTTCTTCATCTTTAAAAAGGAAGGAAATGCTGACGCATGCTACAACATGGATGAACCTGGGGGATATTATGCGGAGCGAAATAAGCCAGTCACAAAGGGACAAATACTATAGGATTCCACTTATAAAAGGTGTTTAATTTTGTCAAATTAATAGAGACACACAGTAGAATGGTGGCTTTTAGGGGTTGGGGAGAGGAAGAAATGGAGAGTGGTTTAATAGGTACGGAGTTTCAGTTTGGGAAGATGAAAAAGTTCTGGAAATTGGTGGTGATGGTAGCACAGCACTGTGAATGTGCTTAGTGCCAATGAGCTGTACACTTAAAATGGTTAGCGGGATAAAATTTATGTGTATTTTGCTACAATTTTTTTTAAAAAGTTACAATTTACCTGATCAAATGTAGTACGCATAGAGGTATCCATACTGCAAGTTCTGTAGGCTTCTTTGGGAACCAGTGAGATTTCGTTTTGTTGAAAAGCAAAAAATAGAATGTTCACGCTAGAGATAATGGTTGAAAAGTTATTTTAGTTATTATTTTTTTTAGGTGGCAGTTCGGAGAGGTCTTTTGGATTGTTCAGAAAGAAGCACCTTTCTTTTCGGTACCCTGGGAAAGAGGCATGAATACCTGTGGCTCAACCATATTCCCAAAATACTTTCAGAGAGGAGAGCAAGAGTTGACTAGAAGAGTTGACTCGGTGTATCATAAATCTCTGTGGTAGAGAATTAAATAGCAACTTCCACTTATGGGGAAAAGTGGGAAATAATGTGAAGAAGCTATTCTTGACAATCTTCTTAAAAATAACATTTCAAAGGAAAGTTGCAGGGATATTTATGTCTGAACGCGTACAGGTCTGGGAAAAACAGGATTTCAGTCAGCTCCCTATAGGAAGAGAGGGCACACTCAGATGAAGGTAATTTGAAAAAAGTCTAATAAAAGGGGCCCTTTGCAGCAGTGTGGGCAGACTCTAGGGAAACCACAGGGCGAGTACAGTACCCGAGGCTGTAAGTCTTGGGGCTTGTTAGGGCCAGGGGACGGAGCAGTTATGGGAAGCCAGCGGTCGCTCCCACACACACACCAACTCTCGGACCTCCCTCTCCTCCCACTCTCCCACATCCTCCCGAGATCCTTTTAGCTGGAGCTGGAGGGAAAGGAGCCCGCTGAGGTGGTCAAGGGGCTGCCTCTGGGGATGTGGAACCAAATGAGGGTGGGTGGGTGGCGGGTGAATCTGGAAGGGGGAGGTGCAGACGCCAAGACAGAGGCCCACACTGTCTCACCCAATTGAATGACTTCCTGCTGCATCTGTTCTTCACATCTCATCTGTGGGCTATTTTTTTCCATACATTGACCCAGAAAACCGCATTTTCCAGTGACTAAAAAACTATTTCCTTCTGTGGTTACATTCTCGAATTTTGACTTCGACAAAATTCGAGAAGAAAACCACACCATCTCATAGTAATATTTACATGTTCTGTATTGAATTTAATAGGTCACAGGAAATGTAATCACTCTCTGAAGAGGCTATTTTATATTTCTGAATTCCTTTTGGAATCACGTTTAATCACTCTGTTCCCTAAGCATGGTGATCAGCTGGGTAGGAACTAAAAGATTCCCCCAGAATTTAACTCAGGCTTTCTCTGAGCAGTTGAGCCCTCATAGATGTAACATTTCGATGCTTGATTTTGTATTTTCATAACCATAAAAGTAACCTGAGGCTATTTAGCCCCTGGAAAAGAAACACACACCTTAGAAACCTGAAGTCAGACTGCCTGGATTCAAATCCTGGCTACATCACTTATTATCTGTGTGATCGTGGGCAAGTCTCTTGATCATTCTGGGCCTCAGTTTCCTCCTCTGTAAAATGGAGTCCTAACTGGATACACCTCACAGGGCTGTGGTGAGGATTGAATGAGACCACGCGCCCTGAGCACGATAACCAGCACGCAGTCAACAATCCATAATTGACGAGTGTTGTTATTCTTGTCTCTTCCTTGCTCTTTTTCATCTCCCTTTCATTTCTCCCCTCAACTTCTGCTTAAATTTCTCCCACGGCCTCCATGAAACAGACCCTCATCTTACGTGGCATGTCTCCCTCCCGTTTCCTCCTGTGTCGATTCAGATTGTGAGCACATCCAATGCCTCCCAGACAGTCACCTTGGTGTACGTGGTGGGCAATCGGAGCTCCTTCCTCAACGGCACGGTCGCCAGCAGCCTCCTCCGCCAGCTGTCGGCTGAGCTGGTTGGGTTCTACCTCACCTACCCGCCGCTCACCATCGCCGAACGTGAGTATGTCCACGCCCCACGGGGACGCTGCCTTTCCCCCACTACCCCCGGGGGTCCTTTCTCCATTTAACGAACACCTATTGTGCTGGGCACATAAAACTCTTTTATCATAAAATAACTGGAATTGGTGATAAACCGGGATTGAATTGATGACAAGTTTATTGCACATTGGAAGTAAGCACTCGCTAGGCACCTTTACCCTTCATATATCTTACGTCACCGAATCCTCGCAAAGCACTCTATAAGGTAGTACAGAATGAGCCCCACTTCACAAAGGAGAAAACTGAAGTTCCAAGAGGTTCACAAGATGCTCACTCGTACATAACTAACGAGACATGGAACCTGGGGTTTGAACCCAAGCAGTCTGCCTTTGAACTTACAGTAATTGCCCCATAGGGCGTCTGTCCTTGTGGCAATCTGGGTTGTGATGGTTTCTCCCACTTCTGCCATCAGCAAATGTTCCTGGCCTTCGGCCCTTGCCTTGGCTATAAACATCATAATGCAACTCATTTGCAGTCAGCATCGTGGCTTCACTGGATGAAGACCCCATAGTCAGCCCCGTGGCCTGCCTTCCTCTGATGCTTCAATTACATAATCCTCATTACCACGCAGCAGGCATAGACTCGGAAGACAATGCAGCCTACATTTTGTACCCAAACGCTTACTTGGCAGCCAAAGGAAGTCAAGATTTGTGCTGTTAAATTTAATTGTTAATACATTTCTCGGGGCACCTGGATGGCTCAATCGTTAAGTGTCTGCCTTCGGCTCAGGTCATGACCCCAGGGTCCTGGGATTGAACCCCGCATCGGGCTCCCTGCTCAGTGGGAAGCCTGCTTCTCCCTCTGCCTGCCGCTCCCCCTCCTTGTGTTCCCTCTCTCACTGTGTCTCTCTTTGTCAAATAAATAAATAAAATCTTTAAAAAAAAATACATTTCTCAAGGTCACTGGTCAAGGGTTTTTTTTGTTTTTTTTTTTAAACACATGTTAGCACGATTGCTTCTATTTCCTTCTGTGGTTACATTTGATCCTGTAAATAAATAAAATTATGTGTGTGGATGTACCTAGCACACAGTAGCTACTAAGAAATTTTTTTTGAATGTTTAATGGCAGGTTTTTGTGAATTTCCATGTAGGAAAGATGACTGTATTTTATGGAAAAGATGATCTCATGAAAGATGGCATTCATTATGTCACATGACAGCATGTGAAGAATTTATTTTCTTTCCTCTTGATAATTCTTTTTTTTTTAAAGATTTTATTTATTTATTTGACAGAGAGTTAGAGAGAGAGCACAAGTAGGCAGAGTGGCAGGCAGAGGGAGAGGGAGAAGCAGGCTCTCCGCTGAGCAGGGAGCCGCACGTGGGGCTCGATCCCAGGACCCCAGGATCATGACCTGAGCCGAAGGCAGCCCTTAACCCAGTGAGCTACCCAGGCATCCCTCCTCTTGATAGTCTAATAATTACAACTAAGATTTATTGAGCACTTACCATATGCCAGGCACTGCGCTAAACCCTTTCCATGAATTAACTCTTATGGTCACTATATCTGCAGACATACGGGACCGTTTGTCACAAACATTTGGCTAATAATACACTTAGTCCTTGAAAAATCCATTCAAGAGATGATCATTCCTAAAAACATTAGTGATGGTTGGGTAATTTTCACAAAGAAAGCTGTGAGTCTTGAGAATGAAGACATTACACTTAAGAAGATTTTGATGAAAAAAAGTAGAAAGAGCAGAAATTCACAAACCCTAGAAAACTCTTCATCTGAAAGTTAGCCCTTTCCTGAGTATTTTACTTTTCAGGACAGCAAGATAGTTTTGGCCTGTATGTCCTGGAGTTCCCCGAGAATGTTAAAGCCGAATTTAGATGTTTGATACTTTGTCACCTATGTGTCCATTTTCCTTAATAATATTTGCATATAAAACCCGTGAAAGTAATTTGGTGTGTTTCTTATTTGTTTTAGCGCTGGAATATCCCAACCTTGATATATCAGAAACAACTAGAGACTATTGGGTAATTACAGGTAATCTCTTATTTTACTCCTTTTTTCCCCCTATCAGGTTGGTTTGTTCTTTTAAAACTGCGTGTCAAAAGAAGACCCAAAAACTAAAAAATATTTATAATAATTAAAACTGCATGCCATTCAGTGATAATATCAGCATCTTTTCCTTGGTCCTGTCTTATAAGTCAGGGAGTTACTTCCATAGGACCAGAAGTGGGTAAAGTAAGCTAAGAAAAGATACCACTGAAGGTGAATCTTAGATAACCATTCAAAACAGCAACCTGTAAAGTCCACTGGCCTCCTCTTTGCAAACTGTAGACCAATCAGAAGGTATGGCGGTAACCTGTGGACGTCCATGGGAATGGTTGTTTATTTAAAGATGGTAAGCCTTTCCGCACTGCCCTACAAAACCCCAGTGAAAGGCAGAAGAATGCTGGGCATGCACTTTTCTCTCTCCCCTGGCACATGCCCCACACCTACACTAATCCTGGTAGAGCCCAGGCGTGTCCTGACAGTGAGGGCGGATGGAAGTAGAAGGGTGTTTGGGTGACATTTTCTTTTTTTCCTTGACATTTCCCAGCTGAGCTTTATGAAACAGCAAAAGAAAGTTCTTGTTTGTGTTTTTCCAAAGCCAGACAGTTGCTCTGGAAATCTTACAGAAGCAAGGGTTATGAGCAAAGAGAGAAGACAGATGTTTGTGGGAGAAGTGACCAGCCCAGCTGTCTGTGGAAGGGGGCAGGGGAGGGTATTAGCTTGATGGGGCTGCCATAACAAAGTACCTCAGACTTTTGGGGCTTCAGCAGCAGGAGTTTATTTTCTCATAATTCTAGAGGCTGGAGGTCTGACATCAAAGTGTCAGCAAGGTTGATTTCTTCTGAGGCCTCTCTCCTTGGCTTGTAGATGGCCATCTTTCCTTTATGTCTTTCCTCTGTGTGTCTGTGTGTGTGTGTGTGTCCCCTTATCTTCTCTTCTTATAAGGACACCCAGCATGTTGGATTAGGGCCCACCCGTTATGACCTTATTTTGCCCTAATCACCTCTTTTAGGGCTTCGTCTCCAAATACAGTCCCATTCTGAGGTACAGGGTGGGGGGGTTAGGACTTGAACATATGAATTTTGGGAGGACACAATTCAGCACATAACAAAGAGAGAGGAAGATCCTACAAGTCATGGAGGATGTGCCTGGGCAAGCCTGTCTGCAACCTCCCTGCCTTCATCCCTGCCCCATCCCCTCCCTCACATGCTGTCCCGAACAAGCAGTAGCTAGGCTAGGCTATTGCCTAGAGTCCTAACAAAGGAGCACGCACCTCCTGCTCAAGGAGGCCTGCTCAAAACCTCTGAAATTGCAGAAAATCGCATTTCTTTCTCCCCCACAGAGCCATGATTATGCAGAGATTATTTTACCTGCTAAGAAGGCAAACTAAAGAAATTTTAAAAGGAAAAAGGGGCGCCTGGGTGGCTTAGTCGGTTAAGCATCCAACGCTTGGTTTTGGCTCAGGTCATGATCTCAGAGTTGTGAGATCAAGTCCTGCATCGACCTCTGGGCTGGGATGGAGTCTGCTTGAGATTCTCTCTCTCCCTCTGCCTCTACTTCTCACCCCACCAAGCCCCCTGGTGCTCTGTCTCTAAAAAAAAACAAACAAACCAGAGTTTATGCCCAAGAGGGAGATGCATTTTTGAACCAGCAGGTTATGTAACACTTCCAGAATCACGTTTCCTCCACCAGGAATGCTGCTTTTTAACCTGCAGATGTCTCTCCTATTAACTGTAAGTTTTACATTAAATGGTAACACATCTGCCCTTAAACACAGGCTGTCCTTGACAACCTCCTTGTGTACGTGGGTCTTGCCCTGACTCTGTTTTAGTGACATAACCTTCACAAAATCATGCTAAGACGTCACCCCCTGCCCACCCGCTGATGGACCCTCATTTGCTTATGTTGTTGCTGTTCCTGCTGCTGGTAATCAGAGTAAATGGTGGCCCCGTCATGGGGTTTGGGGCTAGTTGCCTCAGTGCCAGCGGAAGGGGCGAGAACCAGTCTCAGCATGATCCTCCTTCCTTCCCTTTCGCTCGGGACCCACTTTCTACACTCACGTGCAGCCACCACCAGCCTTTGGCCATCATTTACAGAAGGGGTAGGAGATTGGGACCTGAGATGAAGATAGCTTTGTTCATCTGGCTCAGAGGCACAGCTCCTTGAAACCCCTCTACCCTCTGTTCCCAAATATCCGACATGAGTACTCTGTCTTCTGCTCATTGCCAACCACTCAGCGGATGTGGAGCAACTTTCCTTTCTGTTGTTGGTATTATGAAACCCTAACATATTTCCACCTGCTTTCCCACTAAACTTACGTTAAATCTATTTTGAGGCGCCTGGGTGGCTCAGTCAGGTAAGCATCCGACTCTTGGTTTTGGCTCAGGTCATGATCTCAGGGTCATAAGATCAAACCCCGCATCCGGCTCCATGCTCAGCATGGAGTCTGGTTGGGATTCTCTGCCTCTCACTTTGCCCTTCCCCCGCTCATGCACGCACGCACGCTCTCTCTCTCAAACAAATAAAATCTTTTAAAAAAATATGTTTTTGCACTCTATACACTTTTCCCCTCCCTGGTGGAAAAACAGTGGCTTAGTTAGGGTGCTTCGTGCAGCCCCCTCTGCTGTCTCTGGATCCCGTGGTCAGGGTTGTATAGATGGGGCAGGATAGAGACTCACAGACACAATATTGCTGCCAAACAGAGGTCAGAGTTCATCTTAGGTTTATCCAGTTGTCTTTATTGCATCACCAGCATCAGAATATCCCAGACCCAGCAGTCTCAGGATTTCTTCTGGTCTCAGCCCAGCTGCTGCTAACCTAGTATGTCCTTGAGCAGGTCACTCAGGTCCTCTGGGTGTCATGCTGTCACCTGTGGAAGGAGAAGATAGTTGCTGAGAAGATAGGCTCTGAACGTATGGGATTCAACCACACACGAAACAATTCAGCTTCAATATAGGAAGCTGAACCAGGCCGAGCTGATTGTTGGAATTTTAGAGTCCAGTGCAGTTGTAAATAAAGAAGGACTAAGAGACGAGTGATGTAACAGCCACTAAACCTTCTGGAGAGCTCCTATGAACACAGCGGGGGACTTGCCCGCCTCCTGTAAGCTGAGTCAGTGGTGGCTAAGGGTGGGTGGCCAGGGCCCTGGCTGACGGGCTGAAGGGCTACTGTCCTCCTGGGCACCTGGGCCAGCGTCCAAGCTCCCCTCCTGCTTCTGGGCTGCTCTGAGAGATGCACGCCCCTTTCTAGTCCCTTCTAGGTGGGCAGAGAGGGCTGGGAGCCTGGGGCCCGCTGCACTTCTCAGGGGAAAGGAAACAGGCCACCATCCTGGAACACAGTTATTTCTTCCTCTGGGAAAAATGTGTCTAACCAAGAAGGGGCACATTTGAGCAACCACATCAGCTGGCATTTACGGGCACCCTCTCAGGTGCCTGGCAGCACTCTGCTCAAAGCATTTTTTTTTTTATAAAAGTGTCTGTTCTCCACCATGACACAATCAGAAGTAGATTATAATCCCTGTGTTTTCAGACGATGAACCAGGGTCCAGAGGAACTAAGCGACTTGCCCAAGTGTACTCAGTAAGGGGGAGCCAGGATGTAAAGCCAGACCCCTGGCTCCAACCCCCAGTTCTTCTCCAGCTGCCTGCGGGGGGTCGGGGGGCACATTCTCTTTGCAGACAGAGTGGTGAGGCGTGTGGGAACTGTCCGGCTGTAGGTTCCGTGTAGCTCTGTGGGAGGTTCCCATGGCCTCCTGCACCTCCCTGAAGGCTGTGGTTTGGTTTGGTTTTTGTTTTCCCTCAATTTAAAAAATTGGGGTAAAATACACATAACATGCAATTTACTATTCTGACCATGTATAAATGCACAATTCAGTGGTATTAAGTACATTCACAGTGCTGTGTAGCCGTCACCACTCCCTATTTTTGGAACTTTTTCATCACCTGGGGGCTTTGACTGTCCCTTTCTTTGATGTCTGCCCTTGAGCCATTGCTGGGATCCCCTTAGAGTAACCCTTGATGGTGCGCTCTGACTGTCCTGTGTCCCCACTCTGACTCTTGTCTGGTAGCCAGGAGAGGCCAACTTAGAAGTCATCTTTCGGGGGTGCGAGGTGGCTCATCTGGTGAAGCGTCCGACTCTTGATCTCAGCTCAAGTCTTGATCTCAGGGTTGTGAATTCGAGCCCTGTGTGGGGCTCCATGCTGGGCGTGGCTCGAGCCGATTTTAAAAAGGAAAAAAAAAGTAATCTCTCAGCAGTGGTTGTGTAGTTTTACTAGAGACGCATGAAGCAGCAAGAACGTGGCTCTCCTCTCTGGGGCCAAGAGGTAGGCTGGCCCTTCCTCAGCCTGACAGCTGCATCAGGGCGGATTCTGAGGGGCCTCTCCGGGACCTGCCACGGAGGGAACAGTGCCGACGTGTCTTATCTCCGTTTGCAGGAATTCTGCTGACGGATGAGCTGGGAGTCCCTCACAAGGGCCCTAGAAAGAGAGCCGCTTTATGCCCTCCATGGGGATTATTTGGCAATTGTGGCTTCATAGAAGTAATTTCGGAGACTCAGCTGTGGGTTTTATTTTTCTCTTGATCGGTTTCAGCGTCATCCTCTGCATCACGCTGCTCCTTCTGGCCCTGCTCAGAACACGCTCACAGTAACAACAGGCTCTTTCTCTTCGGGCTATTTCCATATCCCTGTAGATGGGTGGTGCTAATGGCCCTTGGCTTGACTGTGGTGGAACAAATTCTGTTGAATGAAAAATCTTGTATTACATCCCCAGCCCATTGTAAGTTTTTGTCTCTTTAAAAAAAATGAGAATTTTTTTTAGCCTTTTTGACTTCAGGGCTGACTGTGTTTGGAGGCAGTGTTTGTGTGTTTGGGGGGGACGTGTATTTCCCAAGGGACTTGGAGGAAGGACTGGGCTTTGGGTTTTAGATGGCAAAAGGAAGTCGCTCCCGTAGTAAGTGACCTTTTCAGTCCTAGGATGGTCCTGGTGTTCATGGCGGTCTCCTCCATGCATGCACTAGCCATTGCCTGGAGGTCCATCATTAATGCCTTACCTACCCAGATAGCCCAGGGTATAGGAGAAACCCAGCCGTGGAGGAAGGCTGGAAAGAGGAGTTTCATTTACCTTCTATGCACCAAACGTTGTGCTAAGCTGCTTTATACGTCTTGTCTCATTTCAACCTTACAGCCCATGAGGAATAGACTTTCCTACTCCCTTTCTACAGACAAGGCCTCGGGCTCAGAAAGGGCCAATGGTTTGCCTGAAGTCCCACAACTGGCAAGTGCCCGCCCACTTTTTTCTATTACAGTGTCCTGCTCTCGAATGGGGGAGTACCTGAGAGGCTGCGGGCCACTTAGGAGTGCGTCCTCAAGGGACCCCATAGAGGAGGGAGGGATGAGGACACTGAACAGGGTGGCTTGTCTGGGTGTGAGGAGCTGAGTTGCAGGATGGAGCTCCGATGCCTTAGCAAAGCTGCTGAGAAGGGAAGATGCGGTAAGGGTAGCCCTGAGCCAGGCCTTCCTAGTGGGAACCCGTGAAGGTTCCAGTTAGTCATACCTGCAGCTGTGCTCTATTCCCATGTGTCTCTAGCAACACGTAACATCTTAAATAAGGTTTGGATTAAATACAACAGCATTAGGCACGTCACAGCTTGCGAAGGAGAGAGCCCAGGCTTTGGAGGTACGGAAGCATGGGCTCGACCTGACCGCACTGTGCCGGTTACTAGCTGCATGACCTTCAACAAGTCACATAACCTTTCAGCATCTATAACATGAGGACAGTGATTCCTAACTCCTGGGGCTGTTGTGAGGGTGAAATGAGGTAAGGATGGCCAAGGCCTGACATGAGATAGGGCCCATGGCCATTCGTGGCCAGTGCAGGGCCAGGGGTGGTTGTGGTTTCTGAGTCAGTGGGCAGTCTGTCCTCTGAGCAGCCCTTCTGCCTTCTGCCTCCACAGTGCTCCAGGGCGTGGACAATTCGCTGGTGGGCCTGCACAACCAGAGCTTCGCCCGGGTCATGGAGCAGCGCTTGGCCCAGCTCTTCATGATGTCCCAGCAACAAGGCCGGCGGTTTAAACGGGCCACCACCCTGGGAAGCTACACTGTGCAGGTGGGTATGTGCCAAGCCACTGGGGTCTTCTGATAAATGTGTGGGAGTGTCCTGAGACTAAGTAAACCATGCTGTGTGCAGAGGAGCATTTCATCAACACGGCTCTTAGGGTGTGGGGCTCATGGTCATGACCATCAGAATCATGGAGGAGGGTGAGAGTGAGCTACTCCCCTGTCTCCCTCCTAGACTCTAAGGCTTCAGAACAAATTCTGTACACAGGCATGTATTTATTAAACAAAAGTTATTAGTAAGCAAGCACAGACTGACTATTCCCCAACCTGTTCTGGAGACTGGAGGGAGTCCCCTTCAGGCCTCTCGCCACCACTCCTGTGGTTGGCAGACGCACCAATCAATTTTCCAGGGGCAGGATTCTGTGATCCTTAATTAGCCAGTTTCAACAAACAGAGCCCCCCCACGTTCGTAACGGACAGGGGACCACACGGGGACTGAGGTGAGGGAGCTGTAGCAGACTCTACTGCCCAAACTCCCTTCCCATTTCTGTCGAATGCATCTTTATCGAAGGGCAGCTCTTGAGATGCCAGAACCCACTTGGTCCATGCCGCAGCTGGCCGCAAGTGCCTGCGAGTTCATGAGCGGTGGGGGGTGTGCCTACGACAGCCCTCTTGCTCCCTGGCCAGGGGAATTCTGAAAACGTATGTGTTCAGTAATTGCCAGAGCTTTCCCACGGAGTTAAGCTTTAGCTGCCTGCTGTGGTAACTAGATTAATAATGTACCTCATGCTAGTTCCCTCCCACCGCCCTGGGTCACCTCCTGTCAGTCAGTTCCTTGCGCCTCCCAGCTAAGCTACAAGCACTCAACTCAGAGTCGGCTTCAGAGGGAGCCCGACAGACACCAAGGCCATCCCAAGGCAGAGGCGCCAAGCTTCTTTAGATTCTTTATTCCGTTCAAGCCAGAGTGGGAGCATCTCTAGCACATTCTAGCCAATCCACATATCTTGAATACCACTGATTTCGCCGAAGCTGAGAACGGATGGCTAATGTTTGTTATGCTAATTAGCAAAGCTCTGTGGAGCAAGGTGTCAAAGTACAGAAGCAGGGCTGGTGGCTGCCTCCAGAGTGTGAGCTTCCTAATTGGAATCTAGCAGACTGCCCCTGGGGTGTGAACTCGTGATTGGCAATTGCCACATGGAGGGTGTAACTTAACCCAAACACATATGCTTGATATCCCAGTGTCTAAGAGGAAGCGTTTTAAAGGAAATTACAGGCATTACTCTAATCTGTCTGCAGATCGTGCCCCCAGGCAATTCTGAAAGTACAAACAACCCGTTTTCTGGAACACACTTCCCTGCCTGAGTCAAGCATCATGCCCCTGAGAGAGACTCGAGGTCCTCCATTCACAGCTGGTGAATCGGGCCCCTTGTCCTATTAGATGTTGCTTTCCATCTAAGTCTTTGTGGTCTGTTGACAGCCTGGGACCAGGTAAAGACATGGTTAAGTTCTCGTGCCAGGTTATGATTTACCGTTTGTGGGGTCCACGTGAGCCCTATAAGTCACGCTTCTCCAAATAACAGGAAACCATTGAGACTCAGACAGTGAAATGGGATTTGCCTAGCTGACGGGGGAGAAAGAACGGCCCTATAATCCTGGTGTTATTTGTAAACCTAAGAAACCTAACACATTTTACATATCGAAAAGAGCCCATCAAGGTAGTCTTTCCTCATTTCTTCTGAGTACTCAATGTGCTTGGCTCCACAACCGCCTGGAAAGTCTGAGTGAAGTAAGTAGAGATTTATTTCTGCAAATCCTTACTTTATAGAGTCTGTAGATCACCTTCTCACATCACCCTTGGAGAAATCTTGGTAAGAAGAATTCGCTACGAAATTGAAATTGAAATTGAGTGAAGTTATTGAATATTTGAATGCCCATTCACCTTCTACCTGGTTGTACTAACAGTGTCCTTACCTCCTCTCCCAGAAGGGACAGGAATGACATGCCCGAATTTCCCAAATAAAATTCACTCTATATAGCTTACATCTTCCTTCCAGGCAGAGGCCTTTTTGCTGGGCTCAGATAATTTTAAAAGATGAGCCACTTTCATAAATATGGAAATGTATATGTCTGGAATGTAAAGATATTTCTCTAGTGAACATATCTGAAAAATTAAGTCTGAAGAAGAAATACATATGACCAGTAAAAATTTTTTTTTAAGATTTTATATATTTATTTGACAGAGAGAGACACAGCGAGAGAGGGAACACAAGCAGGGGGAGTGGGAGAGGGAGAAGCAGGCTTCCCGTGGAGCAGGGAGCCCGATGCAGGGCTTGATCCCAGGATGCTGGGATCATGACCTGAGCCGAAGGCAGATGCTTAAAAACTGAGCCACCCAGGGCCCCACGAGTAAACATTTTTTAAATGTTTAACTCCATTTGCCATCAAAGTAATGCAAATTTTAACCACCACAAGTTATCATTTTCACCTACCAAAGATTTATAATGGTACTATCCAGTATGGGTGAGGATGCAGTGAAATGGGCACTTTCAAACCCAGTAAATGGGTTTGAAATGACCACTGTGGAGGGCAAGTGAGCAGTTTAGACAAGAACCTCCTAGATAGTCACAAACTTACTCCTGGAAATTCATTTTGAGGAGACAGAGGTGAACACAAAGACGAGAGAACGGAGCAGTGTTTCTCAGAGAGTGTCCAAAAAAATGGTCCTATAAGGTGCCCTGGGCCAAATGGGCTTTGTGGCCACATCAGTTTGGGCAAGGCTTCATCCTGTAGCCCCTTCTTGAAGATTCCTGAGGCCTTTTGGCATACCAAAGACTCTAAAAAGACCTGCAGTAAAGAAATTCCTTAATTTTGTTCAGCATACTGGTTCGTAAATTTAAGTGCCAATAAGAACCTTATGTTTAGTAATACCTATATTTCTCCAACATTTTATTATGAACATTTTTAAGCTCACACAAAAGTGAAAAAATTATATAGCAAACACCAATAAACTCACCATCTAGGTTCTACAATTAATGGTGTGCTATGTTACTATTTTATATTCGATAACATATTCATTTCCATACCATAGATCAGTTTGGACTGTTCTAGAACCTCAGATACATAAGTATATTCTCTTTTGTATAAAGCTTTTTTGACTCAATGTAGTGTTTTTAGGTTCATCATCATGTTGTGTTTTTCAGGAGTTTATTCCTTTTTATTGCTGAGTAATATCCCCTTATATGAATATATTACAGTTTGTTTACCCATTTTTCTGTTGAGAGACCCCCAGACTTTTTCCAGTTTTCAGCTATTGTAAACAAAGCTGCTATGCATATTCTTCTACAAGTCTTTCTATGGCCATATATTTTCATTTCTCTTGAGTGTGTAGGAGTAGAATTGCTGGTTCCTAGGGTGGGTGTATGTTAGCTCTGTGAGAAACCGCTAGACCTTTACCCAAAGTTTACCATTTTACACTCCCACCAACCAGATGTAGAGTTCCAGTTACTCCTCATGCTCATCAACACTTGGTGTTGTCAGCCCTTATTTCAATCATTCTGCTGGCTGATAGTGGTGTCTTGCGATTTTGCTTTTAATTTCCCCATTGAGCATTTTGTATATGCTTGTTGACTATTCAGATACCTTCCTTTGTGAGGACATACACAGACATACACAGGAGTATAAACTCAGGTAGGCTTCAAAGAACACTAATAAAAGGAAGCCACAACCCAAAGCATAAGAACATTCCCCTTACCTTACCCCAGAAGCCTTTTATGTGTCTTCTCTGATTACACATACTCCCTTCCTATCTATCAGAGCTGAGTGTGCTTCTGAATTTTGTTTTAAGTCATACCTGTATTTCCTGTGTAGATTTTACCATCCACATGTGTATCCCTAAACAGTACATCATTTGGTTTTGCTTGTGTTTGAATTTTATATTCTGTGATTTGTTCCTTTTGCTCATTATCAGGCTTTTGTATTCACCCATATTGATACAAATAGCCATAGTATTTATACTACTCTATAATATTTCATTCTGTGACTATACCATAACTTATTAATCCATTCTACTGTTAGTGACTTTTGAATTTTCAGGGTTTTTTTGTTTTGTTTTGTTTTTTTCTTTTGCTGTTGTGACCAATATTGCTATAAACATTTCTGTAATATCTTTTAATATCCTATGAAGCTCATAATCTGTAATATACACTTTGGAAAATACTATACTATACTATAATGTTTTTTAATTTTGTTATTGTTATGTTAATCACCATACATTACATCATTAGTTTTTGATTATACTATAATGTTTATCAGTTGTTAATTATAGTTGTGAAAACTTGATAGCAAACTAACCGTTCAAAAATGAGGTGTTAGTTGAGTTTATGAGGCATGCATATAGTAGAATATTATGTAGATATAAAAATTTATGTTTTAGGTATTTATAATGATGATCAATTAGCTACAATACTGAAAAATGAGTAACAATTTAAGTGTTTGACAAAAAGTGATTTGCTAAGTAAGTTTATGAGGTGTGCTTTGGAATGCTGTGTAGAAGTTAACATTTATGCTTTTGTTACAGTTAAGGTCACTTAAGGATGCAAGTAAAAATAGCAATATGTGATTCTATATAGAGAATATGATAAATAATTTCATAAAATAATAAATAAAAGGTTTGTGTGGAAAAAACAAAGAATAGAGGCAAATGCTCCAAAATAATGTAGTTAGCTTGGGGTGGAGGGATTACAAATTGCTTTTATTTTATTTCATTTCTTGATGCTTTTCTGTGTTTTCTTTTTTTTTTTTTTTTTAAGATTTTATTTATTTGACAGAGAGAGCACAAGCAGAGGGAGAGAGAGGGAGAAGCAGGCTCCCCGCTGAGCAAGGAGCCCGATGTGGGACTCGATCCCAGGACCCTGGGATCATGACCCGGGCTAAAGGCAGCCGCTTAACCGACTGAGCCACCCAGGCGTCCCAATGCTTTTCTGTGTTTTCAAATTTTCTGTAGTGAATATGTATCACTTGTACAGGGAGAAAAAGCAACAAAGGTTATTTTAGAAAAAGAAGTTTGAGTCTCCAAGTCCTGCTTTTATCAGAGATCTTTTGAATTACAGACATATAAGTTCATTTTTTTTCCTCTCTGGCAATTGCAGGAGTTTGAAATTAGAAATCTTGTTTGAGAATAACCTAAAATGCCCTGAATTAATGTGCAGGCCTATTTCCAAATGAGGCCAGGGTTCTCTGGAGGCTGGAAGACATCACCGTTTTAGCATTTTCTTCTCCAGTCTCAAGCTGTTCTTTCCAGATGTTCCTATTTTCAAACCCTTTTTCTCCTCCCTGTCTCCCCCTCCAGCAATAGCAGGGCTTCTTGAGATGCTGGTGATAGGGAGGTACACAAAGGTTGATGTCTAAAATATACGTTGTGGGTCCTATTAGCCATGGAAGCCTTCAGCAATTGGGAGAGAGCCTGCGGATTGCCCAGGTGATTGCAGGATTGGTGCAAGATGCCCCATAAACATGGCCTCTCTTTTTCTGAAAGATGGTAAAGATGCAGCGGGTACCGGGACCCAAGGACCCAGCGGAGCTGACTTACTACACCCTGTACAACGGGAAGCCTTTGCTGGGGACTGCAGCTGCCAAGATCCTGAGCACCATTGACTCCCAAAGGATGGCCTTGACCCTGCATCATGTTGTCCTTCTGCAAGCTGACCGTAAGGGGATAGTCTTTCCATTCATTATTTTTAACGCCATTAAATGTTTCCTGCAAATTAAAGTGATGCCCCAAACTCACGTTAATGGACCTGGAGCTAAATATATATGTGTTCTAGAAGTTTCTTAAGTCAGTCAACTATTTCCTGTGTTGTTTGAAGCTATAGGTTTTGGGTAAGGGATATGTTTTGGATATTAGGATGATGATAATGGCATTGCTCTGTTTCAAATCCTACTCACGCTTTCTCCTAGAAAAATCACCATGGCTGAGATTATATTGTCTGCAGGGGAATTAAAGATAATTTGATTCACTAAGCATTTACGGAGTCCTGCATGAACTGTGCTTGGTGCTGGCGGACACACAGAAGTGGGCAAGACCTGGTCACTGTCTTTAAGGAGCAGAGAAGGAGTTAATGCAGATATAAAGGAGCAGAATGTGGGAAAGTGCAGTGAGGAGGCAGAGTGATCCGGGGCTCAGGGGAGGGACAGTCTGCTCTGAAGGGCCACCCAGAAAGAACGGACGGAGAAAGGGGTATGAAAACCAATGGTTGCCTCCTCTGTGGCAGGTACTGAGCTTGCTGCCTTACATAGCTTTCCTCACTTTCTCCTCTCCCCAGGGCAACTTTCTTCGGCTCCAAATTCCATATGTGGAAACGTAGGCTCAGGAAAGTTAACTAACTTTAGAGAGAACTGGTACTTGGGTCGCCAGGATATGAATCTGGATCTATCTGACCTCAAACATGTGTTTTCAACTGTGTTACATGCTAAGATTTCAGCAGGAGGAGAGGAAGGGTGTGTATTCCAGAAGGAGGGAGCAACGTGAGCAAAGGAAGGGAGGTGAGAAGTGCCAGGAGTGCTTGAAAAACAAGGGATCCGAGTTGCCTGGAGAGCAGAAACACAAGGAGGAGCTGATGAGCTCAGAAAGGTGTATTGCTTGTGAGACTGGGGCTTTGGATGACAGGAGGAGATCGTGCATGATATGGATGGGCTGTGGGGAGCTATTGAGGATTTCTGTGCAGGGGAGTAGCGTCATTAGAACCACCCAGTATTTAGGGAGCTTCACCTGTCAGCAGTGCCCAGGATGAGAGGAGCAGGACTAGTGAGGAGGCTCTGTGGTGACCCAGGTGTTGGGGACCCAAACAACACTTAGAAAGAAAGTGAGGTGGGGGTCGGTGACAAAGGTGAGAGACCACGTGGTAGACATTTTAGATTTGGCAGCCTGCTGAGCATCCCGGCATGGAAGGTCATCATCCCTTATTGATTTCCTAGCTGGTGTCCACACTCCTAAAGAACCTGACTCTTAGCTCATGGTTTTCCTCTCGTGCTCATCTCTTGCCTTCATCCGGGGTGAGTCTGGCTTCCATGTTGATGCAGATTCACTTCTTGGCCTGCACATTCTCACAGACACACTTTGCCTAGAAATGATGGCCAGCCTGTGCAATCTTGGCTTTGAAACGACATTTTTAACCCAGAGTCTCTTCTTCTCTGCCTCTCTCCTTTCCTCCCTGTGGGCTCCGTCCCCATGTCTGGTCAGGTCAGCTACTTGCTTCATTGGTTTTGCTGCATCCTCTTTATGTGAGTTCCCCAGGGTTCCATCCTCAGCTCTTTCTCCCTCTCCAGCTAGAGGACAGGAATGAAAACCATGGCAGGTGCCCAGGAGAGAGGCAAAGGTGTTAGAGGTAGAGACCAGAGAAGTGGATGGATTTGGGATCTTTGGGGGGGACAGAGCTCAGGGGCAAGATAATGGATCCTGTGGGTGGTGGGAGGAGGTAAGGGTCAGAGGAATCAAGCATGACTCCCAGGTGTTTGCTTGAGTGCTGCTTCTGGTATTTGTTGAGAGGTGGGAGAGAAAGAGGTTTATTGGAGTTGGAGCAAGAGTGGGGAGATGGAATTGAGAGTTTGGTTTGGCCACGTTAGGGCTGAGATGTCTGTCAGATATCCACAAAGAGCTCAGGAGCTAGAACCCCGGAGTCATCAACACAGGTGACGAATAGAGCTAAGAGAGCAGGTGAGATGAACCAGATTAGCCATGAGTATAGCTGGAGAATCCACAGGAGGGAAGAGCTAGAGCCAGCAAAGGACACTGCGAAGGAGCAGCCAGGGAGATGGGAGGAAGCCCAGGAAGAGAGGAGGGTCCAGAAATAAGCAAAGAAAGGAATGTCCTGGAAGGAAGTGAGCTACGGTGTCAACTTCTATTCTTGAGAGGCAACGTACTATAAGGACAGAGGTGAACTGGATTTGGTAAACTTGGCAATGGTTGGTGACCTTGGCAGGAGTGGTTTCCCAGCAGAGGTGGTGGAGATGGTTGGCCAGAGGGGATTGAGGAGAGAATGGGGGTGGGGATGTAGTGACAGCAAAGGGGAGAAGATTGGGTGCACTTGCTGGAGAGGAACATGGGAGATAATGGGGTATGGTTGAATACTGATGTGTTACTGTAATGGAGAGGGAGAAATAGACAGTGAAGAAGAGAGACAAGATCTGTCCTGAAGTCCTTAAGTGGACAAGGTGACCCAGGTGAAAGCGGTCAGAATCCATGAGGGTGTCTGTGCGCCAGGAGGGAAAGCAAAGTCCGAGGGTGTGGGTGCCAGTCAGGTGGTCCCTTTGGTCATGGACGCCTGAGGACATTTTCTGTGATTGTTTCTGCTCTCTTGGGACAGAATGAGGTGAGGTTGGCAGCTGAGGCTGAGGTTGTGTATGGGGAGTTTGAGCAAGCGTGCAACAGTACACACTGAGACTCTGCAAACTGATGAGAGAAATACTGTAAGATTGGTAGGGCTTCTGTCCTCCTCAGGCTTCACTGCTCTGTCCAAACCATTTCTTCTACTCTCTCAAAATCCCAGAGCCTCTGAAGCTGCCTACCCCTTGCTGCAGTCACCTCTAGATCCCCAGATGTCCCCCATAATTCACTGAAGATGTAAACCCAGTTCATTGTTTCCATTGCTTCTCCTGTCCGCAACCCATCCTCGATGCTGACCGATCAGTCAGTCCTAGGATCTCCTCACTTCCAGGCCTTGTGGTACTTTGGGAAGGGGCAGGAAAGGGGAGCTGGCTTTATTAAGAGCAAGAAGTGAATGGAGTATCAGGAGGAGAGGTTGAGGCTGTGGGGACTTTGCCAATGGTGGTTGATGGGGAACAGTCGAAAGTTGGAGAGCATGGGCAGGAGAGAGAGATTGAATCAGATTAGGACATGCATGGCGCGTTTTGGAAATGAGCGTCTGGGGATCATCAGAGGCTTGACTACACCTGTCTGCAAAGCTGCTGTCCCTCCATGGCTCTTCTTTGTTGCTTTCATGGCCCCTTCTGTAATAACCCACACATGTGTTTCCTTCTCTCCATTTCATCGTTGTCTCTTCTTGGACTTTGTGGGTCCTTCTCAAATGACTCAACCTCAGTCATTCTGCCATTCATGTACTGTCCATACTGTAACTAGAGTCACCATAATACATGACTCTGATCTCACATCTACTCCATTCAAAAAATATTTGGTGTCTCTCCATTGTCCACAGAATAAAATTTGAACTTCTTAAGTGGGCCTTCCAAGCCCTTCACCACAGATACTTAACAAAAGTTCAGGTCCTTTCACGACCTGGTCCCATACCGCCTGTTCCAGCCATCTAGCCTCTTTTTCTCTCCTTCCTACCTTGTGCTTCAGCCACACAAGAGGATCCATTCTTCATGTCCCCTGGCCCTCTGGAGCCACCCCTGACCCTGTCTCCCTTAGTTCCAGATGCTTCCACTGCCCTTATCACATGTGGCAGATGAGTTGTTTTCACCTGTCCCTCCTGAGCTCTCTGAAAGCACATACGACATCTCATTCGTCTTTGACTATCGAGGTGATGCTGTTGGGACATCGAGGGGATTCTGTTGGGATATTAAGGATGTGTTATGGAATATTGAGTGGGTGCTGTTGGGACCTCAAGGGGGGTCTTGTTGGAATATGGGGGCTGCTATTGGGATATTGAGGTCTGAGTTTAGGAAAGTTGTGGGAATTCAAGCCTAGATCTCAGGAGAGAGGTTAAAGTTAACACTAGATGTTTTGAGAATGTTGTAGATACGGGTTAGAAATAAATTCCCAGAGAAAATTTGAGGATCTGGGATGGTGTAGAGCTGGAGGACAGACCCTAGGAAATGCCTCCATACTCAGGATCTGATGAGGAGGAAGCTAAGACCAATGAAGAAGAGGAGGAGCAAAGATGTTTTAAATCTCATTTGCTCTTAATAGTTTTGAAATCAGCCAGCAATGTGAACCTGAGATCAACACCTTCAATGGAGAATCGTGGTGTTGAATGAACACCTTGTCCCTCTGAAGGGAGAATGTTAACATTCTATGCATTCTAGTGTCTTCTAAATCACTAGGGCCAGGGTGCAGTGCCCTACGATGGAGCATGCAATGCCCCCTCGCCCCCCATCACCTCTGACTAATGGGCAACGGCGACCGCTACAGAATCGGCCATGTTTCCGATGGAGGTTTTTCACCTGCTCCATTTGAGGGATCTGGAGTGAGGTGCCCTTCACAGCAGTGATCCAGGTGCTGGAGTAGGGAAAATTCTCCCCACACTGAGGCTGAACCAGAATGGGGATTGGTTTACCTTACCCGGTCATCAGACATTATTACAAAAAATGTCACTTTAAGAAAGCGATAGACTGATCCTTTGGCGAAGGGGATTTGTGTTCATTCAGTCTTTTGACAAATATTTTTGAGAACTGTTGTGTGCCTGGCACTCTCCTGGCACTGGAAATACAGCAGTGAGAGTGGGCAGATCAAATAACCAAAATAAGTAAGTAAAATGTTAGATGCTCGTAAGTGCCATGGAGAAAAACGAAGCAGGGAAGGCCAGGGGGTGTCAAAGAGATAAGGGTCATGATTTTAAATAGTTGGAGAGTTAAGAAGAAGATTTGTGAGCGACCAGCTTAGGCTACCAAGAGACAAGGCAGAGGGGGAGGTTTGAGACCCAGCAAGGACGTCACCGATGGACGAGAGGGGCAGCCATGAGGTCAGGGTGCAGGTGAGGGACCACAATTACTACAGCCCCAACGGCCACACCCCGAGTGGAATGAGAGCCACGGGAGTGTTTGGGCAAGAGAGTGACATGGGCTGACTGCTCACCAGTGGCTGGGCTCTGGACCAGACCCTCCCTGCACACACACACACACTTCCATTCCAACTTAGAACTGACAAACTGTGTATTTCAGAGAGATGACTTTGCATAAAACCACCTAACCTCCCTGGGGCTCAGTTTCCTCATCTGCAAATTGAGGATAAGAATAGCACCTGAGCAAAGAACCTATCACAGTGCCTCACGCACAGCGGAAGCTCAGAACATGTTACTGCCCTTTATTACCCTTTCTCTACTCAAGTTCTTGCAAATGAAATAGTCTTTCTCGCCTCTTCACTTCTGTACATGACTTTGCAGTTTTAGATCACTGTGCCAATGAACGCATTGGGTTTGAATGATTTCAGTTGACCTAACTTTACTATCTCTTTGACCGTTAAATGAATTTACTAATGTACATAAGATAAATTATTCTCTTTCCATTTAAATAGAGGTGAAAGGATTTTACATACTGCACCGAGAAGGAACATAGACACCAAAATGATAAAACCAAGTAGAAGCAGGACACGTGTAAATATTAACTCTTGCTAATGAAATATATATTTAGGGTATCATGTTCTGATACACTATATATTTTCCTTCATCAGGACAGAATAGCATAGCCAAAAGAGGCATATGGTTATTTTCCATGGAAACCCTAAGCTTTAAAAAATGTTAATGGCATCAAACTCACTTGTAAATACCAAATTACTAAAAGCAGTAGCCATTAAATATTTGATGTCAGCAGAAGCACATTATCTACTGAGCTGTTTTCAGAAGTTAATAATGTGATTAATCATCGATTGATAAAAACCATGGAAAAGAAGTTTTTTTTATACTAAAGAACTCCAGATCCAAGTGCTGCCAGATGAGAGGCAGATCTTGGCTAATGAGGTACCAACTGAAGTCAAAAAGGGTGGTTGAAGTCAGAGAGAAAGACCAACTGACTCATCATGTGTCACTTACCAGTGGGGTCTCTAAAGTATTCCAGAGTCTTGTCCTCAGCTTTGTGGGTCTAGGAGCCCTCAGAGTTCAGCAGGATCAGGAGGACCAACTTATGCTAAGCAGACTTATAAAAGACTGGTATATAAACCAGATTGGTAGCATATTAATTTAAAATATAGACTAGAACTGCCAAAGAGATGGGACTTCTTCTTTAAGTGGCCCTTATTTTTTGCCATATGAAAACCTACATGGGGAGCCAAATTGCAACAGGGCTAATGGAGGTTCATTTATACATTCGTTCAACTTTTAATTGAGCACCTACTATGTGCAAGGCCTTGTTCTAGGCCCTGGGAGTGTAGCAGTGAACAAGAGAAAAAAAAACCTCCCTGCTCTCTTGGAGTGTACATTTTAGTGGAGAGTTGAGAGACAGATGAGGAGTAAATACATATGTATCGTGTCAGACAGTAATGCGTACTTTAGAGCCTTACCATTCCATGTGTGGCCTGGGGGCCTGTTGCACGGACTCCACCTGGCAGCTTGTTAGAAAGGCAGAATCTCAAGCTTCACCCCAATTCACAGAATCAGAATTGTACATTTGAACAAGATGCCCAGGCGATTGGCATGCACAAGTTTGAGAGGCATGTTTAAGAGAAAAATTAAGTAGGATGAGGGGGATGGAGAATTCCAGGGGCAGGGATTGCTATTTGACACTTGTTTAGAGCCCTGAAAGAAGTGAGGGAAGGAGCCATGGATGTCTAGGTGAAGAGCACTCTAGGTGGAAGAATAAGCTGGTGCAAAGGTCCTGAGACAGGAGCATGTCCAGCACATTTGAGGAACAGTAGGAGACTGGTTGACTGGAACAGAGTGAGTTAAGGGAAGAGCAGTGGGCTGTAAGGCCAGAGAAGTAACCAGGGTGGTTGGAAAAGCAGATCCCATAGGGTCTTTAAGAAATTATAAGGACTCTGGCCCTTACTCTGAGGGGAGAGGGAGCCTCTGGAAGGTTTTGAGCAGAGGAGTGTGTCATCAGAGTTTCTAAAGGATCACTCTGCTGCTGTGTTGCAAACAGACTATAGAGGACAAGGGACAAAGTAGGAGGCCATTGCAGCAATTCAATGAGAGATGTTGGTAGCTTGGACCACAGTGGGAGCAGCAATAGAAAGAAGTGAACAGATTGTGGATTCATTTAGAAGATGGAGAGGACAAGGTTTGTCAATGAATAGGATGTTGGGTGAGAATAAAAGGGAAGGGTCAACATTGATGGCAAAGGTATTGACTGGAGCAACTGAAAGGAAGGTATTGCAATTTATTGGGTTGAAGACTATCACAAGAAGAATGGGTTTGGGGGAGAAATTGAGAGTTGGGTTCTAGACATAATAAATTTGAGATATCTCTTAAGTATCCAATTGGAGATTGAGTTAGCAGTTGGATATAGGAATCCAGAGTTCATGGTAGTGGTCCTGGTTAGAGATCTACCCCTGAACATCATCAGCATAGATGGTATTTAAAGCCATGATTCTCTGAGATCATCTAGGTTGTAGGAGAGCAGAGAACTTGGGTGGGATTAGGGGACAGTATCACCGAGCTGAAACAGCCAGTTGCAGCCATCTTGTTCATGAGGATAGACCTACCCCAGCTGGATTCCCCACATCTGCCAGCTGGGGCACATTCCTATGACATGGACAAGTTCTTGCCTGCCCTTTGGCTCTCTTTTCTAGATTTCCTATGGACCCACTCCCTTCCAATAACTTTCTTTTTCTAGCTGATTGTTTTGGTTACTGTTGCCTTTACTCCAGTTCTAAGAACATATTGGTCTTTTTGATTGGATGAAAGTATCTTCCAAGCTTCCTCGCCAGTGATCATAGGGAAGACTCATCCATCTCATGCCAAGGACTTTTTCTTTTTCTTACATATTCCTAGCCTACCTTACAAAAAAGTTGAAAGAACCATACAGTGAACACCCGTGTTCCCACCACCTAGATACCACAATTAGCATTTTACTATTCTTTCATTTTCACATATTTATCTATCTGTCCTTTTGTCCAGCCATTCATCCATCTTATTTTTTTCTTGATGCATTTCAGAGTAAGTTGCAAACATCAGAGGACTTCAACCCTAAACATTTGAGCATGCATATCATTGCCTAGAATTCAATACTTGTTTATGATGTTAAGGTAAAATTTACATAGAGTAAAATGTATAGATCTTAAGTATACCATTTGATGAGTTTTGACAGGTGTATACACCTGTGTGACCCTAACCCCTATCCTGATATAGAGCATGACCATCACCCTTTTACCCTTTGCAGGTTAATTAGTTCCAACCCCACCTCCAAAGAAGCACCTCCTGTTCTAATAACACATTCTTCCTACTGACAATAGCTTCAGTTACTCTTTACTCTGGCTTTGAGAGCAACCTGATCCTTATGATCAGACCAAGGCATTTCCAAGCTTCCCCAACCAACCCTTGGTGGGCATAGATCCATCTACTCAGCTATATTTATTTATCGCTCACTCACTCACATTTATTTATCGCTCACTCATTCACTACAATATTTAGAGACATCTCTCTGTGGCCTTTGCCTCCTGCCTCCAGTCCAACTATGACCCTCAGATGTCTTCTCTCTTCTCTTTGGATTCATGGACATCACCTATAGGGAAAATGGATACAATCCATCTTCCTCTTTCTCTTAATAATAATGAAGGCTGGTATTTATTGAGCACCTACTAGGGACCACACCAAAGCTCCACATGTACCTCATCTCTCTGATGCCTCACAAAGTGATAGCCCCATTTTACAGATGAGAAAACAGAGACTCAGAGATCTTGAGTAACTTGCCCAAGGCAAGAGCCTTTCTGATCCCAAACCCTGTTCACCATCTCATGACTTGGGACCTGAGGTGTGGGGGCTACTTTGCCCCTCCCAGTGCCCCTTGTCACATGCTTCCCTCTGCTTTTCTCACAGCTGTGGTGAAGAATCCACCCAACAACCTGTGGATCATCGCCGCAGTGCTGGCGCCCATCGCCGTGGTCACGGTCATCATCATCATCATCACTGCCGTGCTCTGCCGGAAGAACAAGAACGACTTCAAGCCAGACACCATGATGAACCTGCCTCAGAGAGCAAAGGTGCGTGAGGTGGTGAGGAGGGGCTCTGCCTGCCTTTTCTGTCTTGGTTTTTGAGGCCATTGCAAATGCCTTCAGAAACATTCTAGCAAGCCCTCATTTTGAAGGAGACCCTTTATTTATTTGAATCTTTAAAAAATTATAGTAAATTATAGATAACGTAAAATTTACTGTCTTAACCATTTTCAAGCGTATAATTCAGTGTTAAGTATATTCACATTGTTGTACACCCTTTATGTTTATAATCAGGATATGATAGTGAACGCTTATCTAATGCTCTCTCTTTGCCATAAGTGCTTCTGATGGCTTTATATAGCAACTCAGTCCTCCCAGCAATGCTTTAAGGAAGGGCCATTATTTCGCAGGTGAGGAAACTGAGGCACAGAAAATTAGAAGCTAGATAGACCTGAAAGGGGCCTTGGAGGTCGTCTAATCTGACATCCTCCTTTTACAGAGAGGCAACTTAAGATCACACAGTAAGTAGCAGAACTGATGGTAGAACCAGGTCTTTGGGCTCCTAATGCAGGGCTCTGTGGGGCACATTAGACTCTCAAAATGTTCCTTCTTCCATTGGCTGGAGTGGCTTATCGCCAAAGGCTGCCATGATGGGCGAGCTGCAGAACCTCGGCCCAGTGGTCATCAAACACACCAGTTCAATGGCTCCACTGAAGCCTGGCTGGGAGCCCACCCACCCTGCCCAGCCTCCTCACCGCTGGTGCCGGGGAGGGGAGTGGACTCAGGAAATTCCAAAGGCTACTTTTCCAGTCACATAGCTCCCTTTGTGATACTCGCAGAGGGAGATATAATAATCTCTAATACCTGATGTTTAAATAATGCCTTCGCATTTGCTGGATTCTTCTGGGTCTGTCACCTCATTGGCTCATCACAGCAGCCCTATAAGGTAGGTCATAGTCAGGGCAGGTTTTATTATTTTCACATTACTGTTGAGAAACCCAAAGGAAAGAGAGCAACTATGGGGATTTGTCCAAAATCACATAACTGGCAGCAGGGGAGCGACTCTGGCCCAGATCTGTGTGTTTGGGCTCTCTCCACATTATACACCTTCCTGAACCCTGAGATTTGGCAGGTAGACTCCTCTTCCAGCACAGAACTTCTGAGCTTTGTCCACCTGTGCAGGAATGAAACAGAGAAAGGAATTCCATTCTGTTGGAATGAATGTCTTGGAGGTGATCTGCCAGGAGTCATGCATGCCTAGTCCTTTCTGGATGGTCACACCTCGCTTCAGCAAAAGAAATCAAATGGATTTTATTGTTTATTAAACTAATTCACCTGTTGCAAAGCTGCAGTTTGATCAGACGCTCTGTCTATGAAAGAGCCAAACTCCAAAGAATGTTGTTCTGTTTCTGTCGACCCAAAGGCACCTGCTTTCCAGAAGCAGCGCAGTGTTGGTAATGGTCCAAGTAGTGAGACATGAAACTGTTCCAAGAAGGGGTATTTCATTCCCATCTTAGCTTAGTTACAATCTGAGCCTTTCAGACATAACAGTAATTACCAGAATCTAATTGCAGCCGAGTCCGGGAATGGAAAACCTGCCACATGGAGGTTGTAAATGCCAACTTTGTGTTTCGGATTAAGCCAAAATTTTACTAATTTGCCAAGGTGAGGTGGGCAGCCCACGATTTCAGCACACCTTCTGGCTTGAAAGCTGTTTGAAGCTGAAAGAGATTCATGTTTGTGGGTTTTCATGGCCCCTTTTATGTTCCTACCTGGGGCATCATGCTTGAAGAGATATCTGGCCGATGTTGACAATCAAGCCAATTTATGTTCCAAGAGAAGACTGGCTTCACTTGTGTGTGGTGGTGCTGGTTGTTTTCTCCCTCATTGAGGCTGGGCTGCGCACTTTGATTTGCAAAGCCCTTTCATCACCGGAAGCCAGCGGGTAGAACTGCCTCTTTCTTACTGCAGTCCTTCTGCTCCTGCAACCCAGGGACGCTGCAGTGTTTGAGAGGACAGAGCCGCCTGCATCACTTCTCACCACCCATGTGTGTGAGCAGAATTCATTTAATGCCAAGGGACGAGGCAGAATGAAAAAGTTAGCCTTCAGGACCAATCCATAGAGTGGGAGGATGGCCTCCTAGTCTCCAGGGACATCGCTGCGTCTTTAGAATGCATGCTGCAGTGTCCGAACATTCCTGGGGAATCCCTGCTGAGACTCAGTAATAGACTTGACAGGCTAAGAGGAGGTGAGTGCACACGCATGCCTGTCCTGGGAGCTGAGGCCAGGGCATGCACGCCCCCACCCTCTGCAGAGACAAAGTACCATAGACGGAACCCTGTTAACCATGGTGGTCAGCTGGGCTTCTGCAGGTAGAATGTTTAGAAAATGATAAATGCTGGAGGGCCAGGCATCAGGGCTTTTGTGACCTTCTTTCTTCCCGGTTCATTTCTCTTTACTCTTTGTTCATTGGATTCACAGCCTTTGCCCAGTGGTTCCCTTCATATAATTGATGAGAACATGGCTCCCTGGAACAGGCAGCCTTACGGGAAAGTAGTTAGGGCCACATCCAGATGCAGGATGGAGCTTGGAGGGCCTGCAATGGTTGGCATGACCATCTGCTCGGGACAGGTCAGTCACCCCCTAAAGATGCCCGGCTGTTTCCTCTCTTTCACACACTATCTGTATGACCTGTACTTAACCTCTTTGTGCCTCAGTTTTCCCATCTGTGAAATGGGATGATAACAGTATTTATTTATTTATTTATAGGTTGATTAAGCTAGCTCTGAAAGTTACTTTGAGCTGTGCCTGGCACATAAATATTACATACAAATTGGCCTTTATTTTTTCTTTTTTTTAATTTAAAATCAATTAACATAGTGTATTATTGGTCTTAGAAGTAGAGTTCATTGATTCGTCAGTTGCATGTAACACCCAGTGCTCATTCCATCAAGTGCCCTCCTTAATGCCCATCACCCATTTATGCCACCCCTCCACCTACCTCCCCTCCAGCAACCCTCAGTTTGTTTCCTATGATTAAGAGTCTCTTACGGTTTGTCTCCCTCTCTGATTTCATCTTATCTTATTTTTCCTTCCGTTCCCCTTGTTCATCTGTTTTGTTTCTTAAATTCCACATATGAGTGAAATCATATAAAATTTGTCTTTCTCTGATGGACTTATTTCACTTAGCATAATACCCTCTAGTTCCATCCACGCTGTTGCAGATGTCAAGATTCCAATTTTTTTATGGCTGAGTAATATTCCATTGTGTATATATACCACATCTTCTTTATCCATTCATCTGTTGGTTGGCCTTTATTATTATACATGATTTTTTTCTTAAAAGGTCTGGATAACTTGTCTACCTTTGAAATTGTTGGGGATTATTTTGATCTGATAATTTTACAAAATTCGTTGTAGATCCTTCATGATGTCTCAGTGGTGTCAGGGGTCACTCACTAAAGTGTGTCCAAGGACAATTAATGAATCGCAGGTGATTTTCAGATTGAAGGTTGAAAGACCACTACCCAGCAGTCAGAAGAGTAAGGGACTAGTCTTGAGTCTTTCACCACTTAGCTGTGTGATCTTAGGCAAGTCACTGAACCTTTCTGAGCTTTTGTGTTCTTACCTGTGAAATGAAGACTGTGATGTTTGCCTTGCTTCCCCCAGGGTGTGGTTGTGAGCATGAAATGAGGTGTCCGTGTTTTCAGGCTATAAGTACTGAACATATGCAAGAACTGTTATTATTAATCTAATAACAGTGGCCACCCTTGAACTTGTCATTCCTTAATGTCATGACAATGCTCATTCATCGTCAACCCAGTCGCCTGAAGTATCTAGCAGATAACTTCAACCCAGTGTGAAGGGTGAGGGGACAAATCCAGGGAGAGTGGGGGCAAGAGGGAAAAGGCCAGAGCCAGCTTGTTTTCCTCACTAGATTCTTGGGAAGTCTTAGCTGCCATTGGAGACTCTCAATTCCTCACCGACAGACCAGGACTCTCAGCATGGGAACCAGGCCAAGTACGGTAGCAGATGCTCAACCAAGATGGCAGGCCGCAGAAGGAGAGGAGAGGACATGGGAAGAATCATCAGGCAGTGGTTAGATGTTTTGGCTCTGCATCACTCAGAACTGGGTGTAAATCCCGACCCCACCACATATTAGCTGGGTGAGCCTGGGGAAGTGGCTTAACCTCTCCAGACCTCAGTTTCTTTATCTTTAAAGTGGGGAATCATAATAATAATACCCACCTCCTTGAACTACAGTGGGGCTGAAGTGTCATAATTGATGTCATGCATTCGGCACTGTACCAATAGTATCAAAAGCTCCTTGAGGGCAGGGGCCCAGCTATTATTCATCTTCATATCTCCAGCACCAGGCACAGTCCCTGGCACAAGCCAGTGCCCAACACCTATAGTCAGCACTACGCTAAATAGGATCATGGGAGTGTGGGGGTATTACGGAAAAGGGGCCAACAGGAGGTGCAGCTAAACAGGCGGGTCCCGCCAGGCTGTGAAGGGCCTGAATGCCTTGCTGGAGAGTTTGAGTGCTATGAAACATTTTTAATGCGGGAGTGACATGACCTGAGTGGTTTTCAGGGAGATAGCTTTGGAAGCTTGTCAAGGGTACGCCTAGAAAGGACCTGAATGGAAGCAACAAGACCAAGCCAGGAGACAATAGGTGGACCTGGGGAGAAAAGGTCAGCTTCTAGAAACATTTCTGTTGAATCCACTTGGTGACCGTCGGTTGGAGGAGCAGGCCATCCAGTAGTCTAGGAACACGACCAGGTGGTTCAAAGGCTCATTCTGTTTCATGTGGCCCCACAGGCAGGAGAGAAACAGACAGACATACATTATTTCAGAAGCATGTTGCTGGATCCTGGCACAGAATGTCCCTGGTCACCATCTGGGTCAGAAAGTGTGTCTCAGCGAAGAGGGAGGGCTGAGTGCACTTCCCACAGTGAGTTTCCCTGGGAACTGGGGGCACTGTCCATGGCAGAACTACAGACTGCTTGACATAAGGAAGCTTTGCTGGATTTAACAAGGCTCCATCCTGTCCTGAGATGCAGTAGGAAGATTTGACGGGTTGGGCCACAGCCCTAGACCGTTCCATCTAGCTGGATGCTCCCTGCTACATTTCTTAGCAAAATTGACAGCTGAAGGGGGATCTCCTCAACATGTCAGGTTCTGAGGGAACCCACATGGTAGAGGTTGAGTTTCATCCCCAGATTTTCTTGAAGAGAATCACTGATTTCTATTTCACCTGGCCTGTGATTTAATAGGAAGGTGAACAATATTAACTAATACCGACTGAGCACTTACTATGTGCCAGGCACTGGAACCCAGGCAGTCTGTTTCGGAGCTGGTGCTCTCTGCCACCCCCCTGTCCTGCCTCGAATCACTGTTTTGCAGCTCTGGGGCAGAAAGCCAAATAGAGACACTCCCAGGAATTGTTTAAACACGCCTCTTGGTTTTTTATTGCCCGGCTAATAGATGTCTGTTGGGCTTTGCTCACAGCTGCCCTGTTCACTTAGGATTTCAGACATTGTGCAATAAAAGGCTTGCTAATTACCCAGTGATGAATCATAGGAAAGCCATAGGTCTGGATTTGAGTGATTCCATAAATCCCATTTTATTATTAATGATTGTAGTGCCTCACGTGTGGAAGTACATTTCTTTCCCTGTTTTCAGAGCAGCAGTTCCCCTTTCATACTCAGGGGTGGTATAGGTAAAGCAGATGTGATTGTCTTCATTTCTCAGATGAGAAAATTGAGATTCAGAATTCAAGCAACTTGGCAAAGTCACATACCTCTTATTGCACATAAAGCCTTGGGAAAGTGGGGTTCAGGGATGACAGGACATTCTGAGGCAGGAGGTGATACAGGACCTGTTTCACATATCAATTCAGAGTCTCTAATTAGCAGTATCTAGTGACTTAAAATTGGTGGTTTAAAATTCTTGAAAGAAGTTTGTTCTCACGCACGTATTTGCATCTTGTTTATACTCTTTGTTTTTCCAAGTAAGTCTTGTCTAGGGAGATGCCATAGCTGGGTGGAATGAGCACAGATTCTGGTTTTGCAGACCGGAATTATGGGGGAGATTTGAGTTCACTCGTGTTCATCAAAAAGCTAAGTGTGGTCCTGTCACATGCACTCTCCTGCCCGTCTTCTCTTAAAGCCATCATTCGAGGCACACTCTGTCAGAAATCTGACCACAAATCCACTTTCCTTTTTGCAGCCTGTGCAAGGCTTTGATTATGCCAAGCAGCACCTGGGCCAGCAAGGGGCAGATGAGGAGGTCGTCCCTGTGACTCAGGAAACAGTGGTCCTCCCACTCCCTGTTAGAGATGTTCCTGCCTCTCAGGAAAGAGACATCACCCAGGACGGAAGCACCATCAAGACAGCCAAGTCCACCGAAACCAGAAAGAGGTAGGCATGGGGCCAACTTCAGCCTCTCTGTCCCAGCAAGGGGAATAATTGATGGTGAGAGCAGCTGAAGCTTTCAAGTTAATACCACTTTTCTCTTTAAAAATTCCCCTCATGCTCGTTTTGAATATTTGAGAAGGAGACTAAGAGAGATGACGAGAATCATAATACTTGCTTCTCATGAGCCATGCTTTGTAAGGTTTTATATCACCGCTCAGCCACAACACCAGAGATTTCGCTTTCATATGTATTACAGCAAATTTGGCACTGTGTCACACTTGCATTTTTGAACTTACCTTATAAGCAGTGCCTTTGATTCAGTAGAGTTGGATTTTATCTGGCTGTTTTCAAGAGTTCATGGTTTGAGTTCAAAAACCATTTTGAGGGGCTCCTGGGTGGCTCAGTCATTAAGCGTCTGCCTTCGGCTCAGGTCATGATCCCAGGGTCCTGGGATCGAGCCCCCTGTCGGGCTCCCTGCTCCACGGGGAGTCTGCTTCTCCCTCTGCCTGCTGCTCCCCCTGCTTGGGTTTCCTGTCTCGCTGTCTCTGTCAAATAAATAAATAAAATCTTAAAAAAAAAAAAAAAAAAGCCATTGTGAGAGGGGGCACCTGGGTAGCTTAGTTGGTTAAGCATCTGACTCTTGGTTTCAGCTCAGGTCATGATCTCGGGGTCGTGGGATTGGGCCCTGTGTCGGGCTCCACGCTTGGGAGTCTGCTTGAGCGTCTCTCTCTCCCTCTGCCCCTCCCCCCTAAAATAAATAAATAAATCTTAAAAAAAAATTTTTAGGAGTTTTTACCATGAACAGAGCACTTTGACATGCATTGGAAAGGCTACAGAAAGGATTACGATTGAGACCTGACCCCAAGTATCTCATGATGGAGGGACAGAGAGATAAATACCTGGAAACCAAGCATGATGTGCAAGTGCTCATAGGGGAGTCTAAACGAAGTGCTTTGGAAAAGAGAGAAGAGCTTAATTCTGATGGAGGAGCTTATATTTTAGCTGGGCCTCAAAGGGTGAGTGTAGTGTCAGTAGTTGGGGAGAGATAAAGGTGTCCAGTCCAAAGGAGCTGGGAGAAAAGAGGGACCAGCACATGTTCATGCACTGGTGAATGTCCCCAGGGTTTATAGTTCACAGTGGTTGGGGTACAGTGAAGGATGAAACCAGATGGATGAAAATTGTGGAGGGGCTCAACTGCCAGGCTAGGGAGTTTGACGTATATTCTCTGGGCAATGGGAAGCCACTGAAAGTTCTTCTGCAAGACAGTGACGTTCAGCCTGTATTTTAGAAAGACTACTCCAGTGGCAATGTGGATGATAGATGGGAGAGGTTAGGCTAGAGGCCAGGAGACTCATTGTAAGGATTTTACAATAGTCTTATAAAGAGGTAATGAGCTCTATGGTAAGCCCTGTTGGCTGGCCAAGCCAACTCCCATTGCCAAGTCCCTTTGCTCCTTTGCCTGAGACCACAGTGGAGGCTGGGAGAACTACATCACCCCTGCTTCCTTCCTTCTCTCCCTCCCTTCACCTAACATATTTGTTGGGTGTTATTCACCAGGTACTGGGGATACTGCAGCGAACAAGACACAGTTCCTACTCTCATGGTGCTTACAATCTGGTGGGGAGAGCTAGGCAATAAACAAATAGAGAAATAGATGCACAGTAAGTCGGGTGGTGATGGGTATGAAGAAGGAAACCAAAGCATGGTAAGAGGATAGAGCAATGGAAGGGGGCGGGGGCATGATGCCATTTTTAGCTACAAAGTCAGGAAAGGACTTTCTGATAAAGTGACACTTGAGAAAGACCTTGAATGAAATGATGCATAAGCCTCAAGGCTATCTTAGACAAGAATGTTCCAAGCAGATGGGACAGTATGTGCAAAGCCCAGAAGAAGAAATCTCTTCACATACTCGAAGAAGAGCAAGAAGGCCAAGGAGGCCAATGGGAACTAGGGAGGAAGCGGTGGCAGATGGGTCAGAGAAGTTGCCTTAAGTTGAGCATGTCAGGCTCTACAGACCAAAGTCAGGACTTGGAATTTTATTGTGAGTAAAGATCAGAAGTCATTGGAGGGCTTTGAGAAGAACAGTGGCATGCCGTGACTTGCAGCTGTAAAGGCTCACGCTGGCTGCTGTGTGGAACACAGATGGCAGAGAGGCAGAGTGGAAGCAGAGAGACAGGCGGCTATTACAGTAGTCCAGGTGAGACATGGCGGTGTGGGCCAAGGCATGGTGCTGTGAGAAGTGATGGGATTCTAGACGTGTTTTGAGGGAAGAGTTCACAAGGCTTGCTTTGCTGATAGATTGTTGTGAGGAATGGAAATAGAGAGGGACACATTTGCCACTGGTTGTGTTGGAGAGGATCAGAAGAGAAGAAATCTGTAGGGGACGATCATGAGTTTGGATGCGGGCATGTTAAGTTTGAGGTGCCTCTTAGACACGCAAGTTGAAGTGTTCAGAACTCAACTAGCTGTATGAGTGTGAGGTTCAGAGGAGAGGTCCAGAGTAGAAATATAAATGGAGGAGTTGTCAGCATTTGGTTATTTAAAGCTAAGACACTGAATGAGGTCACCTAGGAGAGGATAGTTAGAGAAGAGACCCAAGACCTGACCCCTGGAACATTGCAATCATTAGAGGTCCAGATGATGAAGAAGAATCAGCATAGGAGACCAAAAAGTATCAGGAAAAAGAGGCATGAAGAGGACAAAGCAAGAAAGGAATCCAAGAAGCCAAGAGAAGGGAGTAATTTGAGGGGGATGGAAGGATTGTCTGTGTCAAATACACAAATTTTGCACTGGATTCATGCAACAAGGCTCTGTGTTTTTCCCTCCAGGAGTTCTTGGTACCTCAGAAAGAGATACAGAGAAACAGAAGGTTGGATTCCAGCTTGAGTAGGAAAGAAGGTTGAGGAGATATGGGTTAGTTATCTATTGCTACACCACAAACTCCTCCAAAGCTTAGCAGCTTAAAACAACCACCATTTCTTCAGCTCATGATTTTTGGTGGGTCGGCAGTTTGGGCTGAGCTCAGGTAGGTGGTGGTTCTGGGCTGAGCTAGGCTTAGCTGATCTCAGCTGGGCTCACTCATGCATCTGTAGTCAGGCGGTCGGCTAGCTGGGCTGGCTTGTTGGTGATAGCCTTGTCTGGGGTGGCCCAGTACCTGGGGCCCCCTGCCACATGGTCTCTCATCCTCTAGCAGGCTAGCTCTGGCTTTCTCACAGGGTGGTTACAGGGTGCCAAGGGCAGCAAGAAAACAAACCCCCAAGTGCAGGCACTTCTCAAATCTTTGCTTGTGTCATATTTGCTATTGTCCTGTTGGCCAAAGCAAGACACGTGGTCTAGTCCAGAGTCAGTGTGGGAGGAGGCCACCAAAGCTTGGTTACGGGGAGGTGGGAATAAATTGGGATCACAACTGCAGTGGTCTGCCCCAGCATGGAGAGCTGAAACATACAGAGAAGCAATAGACAAATTATCTGAATTGACTGACAAATAGAATTACCTACAGTAATTGTTCTCACTATGATCTTTGCCAGATACAATAAAGGTGTGGTAACAACTTATATATCACCTATTAGAGGACACTGAAAAGAAAAAATAGAATTACTAAAATTAGGATATTAACACAGCATTGATGGGAAGAATAAAAATTCTTTTCCACCCATTCTAGATGAGTGATTTTAAATTGTATAAAGATTTATTTAAAAAAAATTTTTTTTAGAACAAGCATTTCTTCTTGAATTAGCAAGGAGTCTACTCTTGGTAATCAAGTTCAATTACTTGCCCTCAGAATTTTAATAAGAAATAACAGCTTATGAAACAAATATAGGTAAAGAAAGCAATGTCTACACAGCTGAATGATTTCTACGTTTGCTTCATAATATTACTGTAAAAATAGAATTTTACTAAGGGCTGGCTGTTATCATTGCCAAAGCTATGTGAGAAACCTCACCTCTGTTCAAGTTCAGCTGACCACAGGAGTCTCTAATCATTTGGGAAGATATTAAGATGCCAAACCAACAGCAAACTCATCGTGCATTTATTTGTCTGGCTTTCCCATCTTGTCACATCAGTTCCCTTGTTCCTGCTGGTTGAGGACACATGACCTCCCAGAATGATCCAAAAAGTTTTGCAGGACACATGACCTCCCAGAATGATCCAAAAAGTTTTGCAAGTGAAAAACAGTAGAAACCAGTGATTGGATGGTCGTGAAGATATCTCGATTTTTAAATCTGTTTTTAAAACTGTTTGAAAACTGAAATCTGAGGGTTCAGCCATTTGCAGACAGACAGGTGTTGCAGGTCCTGTCCTTCTAGCCAAGGCTTTTGGTGATACTATTTTGTTGGTCTGTGACTGGGATTAATGGGTGAGGATAGAGAATCAACCTCATAGGGACAGCCATTCAATTCAGTGATTGGCCATAACTGCTCAGCCCCTTCATCCAGGCTCCATGTACACCCATATCCCCAGAAGGAAGCCTACGGAGTTCAATAGCCTAAAACGACAGCCTCACAGGTGGCCCTTTCTTGCTTTCAACAACATCTTTGTTACTGTCAATGTGAGTGGACACACACACATACAAATCTCACTCTATTTTTGACCAGATGTTTGAGTTGATGGCCCCATGTAAACATAAGACTATAAGCTGATGAAAGAGTAAAGCAGAGGTGGAGTTTCTCTCCAGAAATGTGCTCATTTCTGAGCACATACCTCATACCTTTCCCTGGAGTGAGAGGAACAACCAGAGAATTGTTTCAGGATCAAATGAAGGAAAGAATATGCAAATGCTACAAATACCATTAAGTGTTTTATGAACATAAAATAGGTTACAAGAAGCCTTTCCCCTTCCTTTCTCTCTGGACCCCGGAAGAGTCTTGTTGTCCCGGTAAAGCCAGTTGGAAGAGTAGGGGCCATTAACTGGGAGGTTCTGAAAACGATCCAAGGGCTTATGTCTTCCCTGTGGATGTCTCTGTGCACAGCCAGCACTTAGTGATCAAATAGCTGTGCGGTAAACAATATATACTTAATGAATTAATACCTTCTCCATATTTTCCCAAGCTGCATTATTTGTATGGTGAAAGAGATCTGGGGCCAAGTAAATTAGGAGATGCTGGATTAAACAAAAGGAGAGGAGTCTCTTTATGACAGGACTGATCAGGGCCTTTGATATGTTAATGTGCATGAGGAATATCCAAAGAAGGAAGGTAAGAAACAAGACTCCCCCACCCCCCCGCCGCAACAAAAAAAAGAAACAAGACTTCCCAAACTTATACTTGTCTGAGGCACTTTGGCCAGGAACATCTCATTTGGCTCTGTCGTTCTATGGAACCCTCTGGGCAGATGTTGCATCATCCCGTGTATGTGAGTGGGCCCTTTCACTGGTCATGCTTTGGGGTGCTAAAGTTCCCAGAGCATGGAGAGAGAGAGAAGGGAGGGGAAAGAAGAGGAGCACCCACTTAAGAAACTGCTTACTTACTGGTCAAGGGCTGCATGTTATTACAATCAATTTTCCATTGTAGGGGCTGGATGCCTTTAGGTTGTGAATTTCGACAATTGACAGTAGAAGAATAAGAGGTTCGATGAGGCCTCTGGATATCTGCCTCCTGACTTGTCTCCACAGAAGGGAAGGCAGTTGGTCTTTATGACGATTGGAGGCCTGAGGAAGCACGAACCTCAGCCAGGGCTCCAAGAGCTCCCTTCCCAGAGAGTCCAGAAGACCAGAATCAGCCCCAAGGGAAGGGGAGAAGGCCCTGCGGCTTTCCCTGTGTACAGGCCTGCCTCATCTGAGACGTTTTAGGAGGCAATAAAGGAGAGGGGCTCTGGCATGGGGGGAGAGCCCCTACCTGCAGGGGGATCCCTGGTTTCCAGGACGGATCTGCCACTTCCTAACTCGGCGCTGGACATTCTTCACTTGCGAAACAAGGGTGACAATCACCAAACCAGTGGATTGTCCCGATGATTCCCTAAGAGTTGTGAAAGCATGCACGTAGTCCTTGGCACCTGGTTGGTGCTTCTGATGGGGAGCTCTTGGAGAATATGGGTGGTATCTTCGGATCGCTGTATACCAGGACACCTGGCGCAGTGCCCGGCACAGAGCTGATGCACATAAAGTATCTCCTGAAGGAACAAATAGCTCAAATTGGTAGTTTCAAATGTAAGTGGTTGCCAGTTCGCACAGTTAAAGAGCGCACGTGTGCGCACGCGCCAGTGTGGGAGACAGAATGACAAACTCGGTGGGGTGACTTCAACTTTAGTGGTCAAGGTCAAGGCCAAAGAGAATGTTACGTCTTATGCATGTCCCTGCAGATGCCACGTGAATCAAACGCTCTGCAACACTATTCAGAGTGCTGTGTTTTAAAAAGAGGGCGTGCTTACAAACGCCATCACCACCGTTTCCATAGTCACTGGGGGATAATGGAACAGAGATGGGACCTGAGAGCCGCGCTCACTGAACTTCTCTGCAGAGCTAAGCACTCCCCATAAACAACATACTTCACGATGGCCAGCTGCTTAACCCATGCGGTAGTGTGGGGCTAGTTTTGTTTTGTTTTCTTTTCCTTTCCTGTATCATTTCTTCTTTGTGGATAAAACCAGAATGAAAGGCGACAGACATAAACAGTGCAAATAAAATAACCTTGAGAGGAGGCTGCTGGAGTCGGAACTTACCGTCTTCCTGTTGCTATGGTTACTTCCAGCAGGTCGCCCAGCGAGAATGGCTCTGTCATCAGCAACGAATCAGGGAAGCCCAGCTCAGGGAGGCGCTCGCCCCAGAATGTCATGGCACAGCAGAAAGTGACAAAGGAGGAGGCACGGAAGAGAAATGGTGAGAAGCCTTCTTTGCCAACACCAGCCCCGAGCCCCTCCCACACACAGTTGAGCACACACATGGGCGCCCACACTCACGCACCCTAGGTTCTCCCCTCTGGTGTGCCCCAGAAAAGTCAGGAGTCTGCTACCTGCCTGTTGGGATATTGCCTGTCCCCCTTCTCTGAATTATCCTGTCTCACGCCCTCTGCTCCCTGATCTGATGGAATTGCCTAGTGCTTTAGAAAAGCCCTATGCTGAATGCACCAATGTTTGCTTTACAATTTTTCTAGTTCTTGGCTGAATCGACAGGATTCCTAGCACCGGGTCCATGAGGGGGGCAGGTCTCTGAAAGGCTGCTTGTCTTGAGATTCCCCCCATTTTCTTGCCCTGACTCCCTTGATAAGTTTCAGGGGTTCAGTCTCTGCCAGGGAGTCCAGATACTACCAATCCACCTCTCCCAGGAAAGACAACACGGTGACAAATCTGTCATCATAAAAATCAGCCCGTGCTTCCGCCTTTATTCTCTAGGGAAACGTAACTGGTTGGATTCTCCCTCACACAGATCTTTTCCCTCACTCTAAAGGATGGGTGTTGGGATTTATGAATAAGTTGTTGGAGCTGTGGCACCATCCATATGTGGCATCCGTCAGACATGATTGTGTGTCGCTTCCTCCTGGTCCCACCTTTGTTCTGACCGGCATTCCACGCACTCCTTCCATGTGTGGTGCTGGCTGGCTGGAGCCCAGGCTCAAGTACCCTGGGCTGCCACTCAGATCCGAAGAAATTCTTTTCAGATTTCAGTGTGTTGTTGGGTGGAATCCTACAGAAATGCCAGGTGAAAAGCCGACTAATCTGGCGATCAGGTTAGCTCTGCTTCCCTTTTAAAGGAATGTGATGGAATAGGATTCAGGGACCCTTTCTTGGAGCTAGTGGCAAGGGTGCCTGGGTGGCTCAGTCGTTGGGCGTCTGCCTTCGGCTCAGGTCGCAGTCCCAGGGTCCTGGGATCAAGCCCCGCATTGGGCTCCCTGCTTGGCGGGGGGCCTGCTTCTCCCTCTCCCACTCCCCCTGCTTGTGTTCCCTCTCTCGCTGTGTCTCTCTCTGTCAGGTAAATAGATAAAATCTTAAAAAAAAAAAAAAAATTCCTGTTTCCAAATGTCACTGATTTCTTTCTTCTGACCCAAAAAAGAAAGAAAAAAAAGGAATAATGACACAATGGATTTGTCTTCTGTAGGTCAAATCTGTTCCTCATTCCCATTCCCAGCCATTATGTAAAGCACTGGTTTAAATTGTCCTACCGATTTGATTCCCGAATTTCTTCTTCTCCTGAATTCCCCATTCCCTGTAACAGAGACTGTGCTTTTTACACCCAAATCAGGGTATGGCATGTGGGGTTTTCTTGGAATATCTGCCCCACCCAGGACTACCAGAAATCCTACCTATCAGCTCTCTGCCAAGCCAGCTCACAGAAGGCTTCCTAGAAATATATGAAGTCAAGTCAAAGTCTGTCCTCCCGCACGTGCCCCATCACCCACCCCAGTCCTCAGGTGACCTTGAATAATTTAGCCTGTGTCTTTCTCAGACCTTCTTACTATGCATATGACAACACACACACATCTGTTTTGTTGTATTGCTTTGTTTTTTCATAAAATGAATCCATGTACCTACTGTTCTATGCCTTTTTCTTGCTTAGAAATACACAATGCACAGACTCCTCTGTCAGCAAATCACATTTATGAGATGATGCCTTTCCCTCTCCTTTGCATTTAATCCACAGAAGAGGAGGGAGCAGGGCATGTTTCTGACACCATCACTCCCCACCCTGGCTGGTGAGACACTGACCTGCCCAAAATGTTCCTGCGGACCTTCTGTACTTGTTTTTCCACAGCTCTGCCCGCCTCCTTATTGTTTAGGTCACTTTGATTATTTAAATATTAGGCTCAGAGATAACAGGAGCCAGGTGCATGAATAAAATCCAATTACAGTACTAGGGTGAGGTTATAATGTGTTTGTTCTATTAAAAAGCCATCCTTTCTCCAGGTTTATCGTGCTTCGTTGCATTTTACTTCTGCCAGAGGTAAACCGAGTGAGCTTCCAGGGGTGGTGGCCTCTTTTTCACTGCAGGTTCCCATTCAGTGAGGTTCAGCTTGAAATGATGGGACCAATTCGTTCACTATAAAATCCAACAGATGCTGGAGCACATCAGAATTCTAGGCTGGACCTTCCATGGAGCCTCCACTTGTACTTTTTATCATGGGCTTCACTTCACCATATCATATCCACAATGTCAGAGCTCATCAAAATATCAGTAGTGTATTTTATTGGATTGGAAGATGAACTAAAGGAAGGAAGGAGGGAGGGAGGGAGAAAGGAAGGAAGTGAAATAGATTGCTGATTTATGGAAGTTAAATAAGACACAACGAGTTTGGGTCCGGTGACATTTATGATGATGATGATGTATGGTGTGTGGGACACTTCCACAGTTTAACTGTGGCCCTTTCCTTTAGCATTCTCCCACGCTTTTCCCTTTAGGGACTAACTATGCATCAAATATTCCCATGAACCTGCTGGACTCCCTCACTTTCATATATCAATATTTAATGTAATATCTTTTTACATAAGTCTTTTGGGGATGGGGGGCAGCATAGCTAATTATTTTTCTCTTAAACCTGGAGGGATTATTGTGCAAATCTGAATCTTTTTCGAGAATAAGGATGGAAAAGAACTATAGTTCATACAATTTCCAGGGTATCCTTTTTCCATCCCATTACAGTTATGCTCTCTACTTACCCTGTCCACAGGGTGGGAAGCGGGGGTGTCACAACCCAGAATCAATAAAAACGTTGAGTACCATCTCTTCACCCTCTGAACGGTTTAGTGATAGCGTAACTAACTTCTGCGTGTTCACCTGTTTTGTAGGTACTAACAACTAACAACAATCTCCTTTTATAAGTCAGGAAATTTTTGTCATTCCTTCATTCATTCATTTATTCAACAAATCCTTACTAAAAGCCAACTACACGTGAGACATCATTAAAGGCAATAAGCATCAGCCTTTTAAAAGGTGGGCCAGAAAGGAGCTTCTATTCCAGGGCCCGGGGTGGGGACAGGTTAAATCAATACACACCAGCAGTAATAAGTGCCATGAAGAAAATATAATCAGGTTATGGGCAGGCTATTTTAGATTGGTGGATAAGGAAAGGCTTTTTCAAGGTGCAGTTGAAAAATAAGAAGGAACTAGGCATGCAAAGATGTAGGGAGAAAGACTTTGCATTCTGAGCACAGGGAATATACCTAATGCAAAATCCCAGAGGTGAGAACAAGCCAGATGTGTTCAAGAAGGCTGTTGTAGCTGGAACAGAGTGGATAAGGGAAATGTGCTCAGCCAGGTGGTCAGGGCCAGATTGTAAAGACTCTGGGTTTTATTCTAAGAGAGATGAAGACTTCAGAGGGTTCTGATCAGGGGAGTACTGTGATCTGGTTACCTTTCCAAGAGATAGCCATCCTGGCTGCTGTATGTATCTTAGGTAGGAAGACAAGAGTGTGTTAGGTACTTACTGCTGTGTAACAAATTGCCCTAACACCTGGCAACCAAAAATGACAATCTATGTTTATTATCTCATGTCATATTTGTGGGTCAGGAATTCAGAGTGGCTTAGTTGGGTGCTTCCGGCGCAGGAGGTCACAGTCAGCATGGTGACCTGGCCTGTGGTCATCTAAAGACTTGACTGGGCCTGCAGACTCCACTTACAAGATGGCTTGCTCACATACTTGTTGGCAGGAGTCTCAGTGTCTTGCCATGTGGACCTCTCCATAGGGCTGCTTGGGTGTCCTCATAACATGACAGCTGACTTTCCCCGGAGTAAGTGATCCAGGAGAGAGCAAGGTGGAAGCCACAGGGGTTTTTTTAATGACCTAGCCTTGTCATTTCTGCGATTTCCTATTGGTTACACAGATCAGTCCTATTCATTGTGGTTGTGAATATCAGGAGGCAAGAATTACTGGGTGCCATCATGGAGGCTGGCTGCCATAGATGGTTTTCAGAGCAGTTGTCCAGGTGGGAGATAATGGTGCTCAGGCAAGAATTGCCCAGCAAAGCTCTACTCCAAAAAGATGTGTGAGTAGAGATTTTCTTCTGTCGTTGGCTGTTTGGTGTCCTGCTATTTGCAAATAAGTTCACAGAACCAAAAAAATACTCCAATTATAGCCCATTATTAGACTCCGAGGTGTTTTATCCACATTGTACAATAATGATTTACTCAGCTTACTTTGGCAAATTTGTGATTATGGTAAGTGACAATATGATACAAACTATGTGTTTTTCAATAATTTAAAGAACATCCCAATGTCTTGAGCAAGCAGTAGGAAAGATGAATACAATTCTATTACATTCATATTTTACAGAACACCTATTTTGCTCCTAACTTGCCTGCTGGTCTGGTTGTTTGAACAGGCTTAATTTATCTCTTGCTCAGCCGTGCTCAATAAACTCATTCTTAGAGCTACCTAATGGGAATGTGCTTTAAGCACAAGTCAATCAGCAAGATCCCACCGGCTGTGGAACTTCTTCTGCCAGCGTAGTTATGGACACACAAGGCAGACTGGTGTCTTTCAGCAATCAGAGCAGAATTATCTGTCAGAGGGGAGAATTAATTTAACAGAGCGTAGGCAGAACTCACTCTATTTAATTAGGGAAGTTGTCGATAGTGTTAAATTCATTTCTCTGGCAGTTATTTCTTAGCTTTCTTTTGTTTTGACCAATGAAAAATCCCAAACCCAAATCACTGGAAAAGCAGCCTTGAGAAGGAAAAAAACATAGAGTGTCAGCAGCAATTGCTATGGCCGGTTGACCAGGGAAGACTCATTGCTTAACCTCGTGCAAGAATGGGTTATTTGGTGCCAGAGATTGAACTGAGTGTCGTTATTCTGTTGATGGTCACATTTTAAGAACAGTTGCCAGCTTTGGCCTACTTGTACTTTTTTCATCTCTGACTCAGAGAGAAAAAATTTACTTTTTTTTCCCCCAAAAACATTTTGTCATGGTTTTGAAACAATGGTTTTTGCTGTTTAAATTCAAACCTCACAGACCTGTACCTCTGAAACAAATAATACATTATATGTTAAAAAAAAAAAAAAAGAAGAAGAAGATGGGGCGCCCGGGTGGCTCAGTCGTTAAGCGTCTGCCTTCGGCTCAGGTCATGATCCCAGGGTCCTGAGATCGAGCCCCACATCAGGCTCCCTACTCTGCAGGAAGCCTGCTTCTCCCTCTCCCACTCCCCCTGCTTATATTCCCTCTCTCGCTGTGTGTCTCTCTCTGTCAAAAAAATAAATAAAATCTTAAAAAAAAAAAAAAAAAGAAGATAGTAGGAAGGGAGAAATGAAGGGGGGGGAATCAGAGGGGGAGACGAACCATGAGAGACTATGGACTCTGAGAAACAAACTGAGGGTTCTAGAGGGGAGGGGGGTGGGGGGATGGGTTAGCCTGGTGATGGGTATTAGAGAGGGAACATACTGAATGGAGCGCTGTGTGTTATATGCAAACAATGAATCGTGGAACACTACATCAAAAACTAATGATGTAATGTATGGTGATTAACATAACATAATAAAAAAAATAAAATAAATTCAAACCTCTACGATTCTTTCCTACCCGTTGATAATACAGTGGAGGAATGAATAGTATAGATCTTAAATTTAAGAGAAATCCTTGAACGATAGGGAGCCCTTGGCACAGAACTGGATGCTGTTGTTTCTGGGATCACTTTGAGTAATGTAATGAAAGTCCTCAGTCTGGGAGCCTTACACAAATTCCCCCACGATCATGCAGCATCCCTACACAATAAAACAATCCATGTGTTTATGTTGTGCTTCAGTGCCGGCAAGTGATGAAGAGGAAGGAGCGGTGCTTTTTGACAACTCTGGCAAGGCGGCTGCCGATCCCTTCGACACATCTTCTGGATCTGTACAGCTCATTGCAGTAAAACCCACAGCCCTCCCTGTGGTGCATCCCACATCGGACAGGAGCCAGGAGTCGGCAGCCCTCAACGGTGAGGTGAGCGTCTGGGGACCAGGGCAGCCAGGCCTCCGGGAATTCAGACTAAGGAACACCAGCTGGGCATACTGGATGCAGGTTCTGTCCAGTGTATAGGGCTCTGTTGGTCATTTTTACCTCTGTGTGTGCAGGCCTCAGTAGGATCAATCAGGATGCAAGTCACCCAGAATTAATTTGTTGGGTGATGTTTTTGAATCATTTTTGCCTTTCTCAGGAAGCCCAAGGGGACTTTTTAAACATTGTAGTTATGGGGGCACTTGGGTGACTCAGTCGGTAGAGCGTGTGACACTTGATCTTGGGGTCGTGAATTCAAGCCCCACATTGAGGATAGAGTTTACTTAAAAATTGCTTGTTGTTTTTTTTTAACTGTAGTTATGAAGAGAAGCATCACAAATTCTTCCCCATCCCCTTACACATACACACCACCTTCTGGTTTCTTTGGTGACACTCTTAACCTGTTTGTTATGGGATGCCAGTTGTAGTCGGATGAAAGAGGCTCAAACTGAAAAAGGACCAGAGAAGATAGGGTCATACAGACAGGAATGTGGCCTACTATAGAGGCTTTGAAATGACTTTTACTCCTTTTAGCCAGCTTGAAACAACCCTTTGCCTGCTCCCAGGAGGGTATCAGTGCACATCAGGATGTTAATCAGTTTTCCTAAGAGTCTGAAAAAATTTTGTAACATGTTCCAGAGAATGATGATTTGACCAAAGCAAACAGATGGATGGATGGATAGTAGGTATGGGCAGTTTAGAGAAGAGCAAGAGAGGAAGTTAGGTAGAGAATATCCACCATTCCTCTATCCCCTGCAGCAGAATGGCCAGTGGGCTGAAAATATTTATGAGTTTTTAAGATCATGCATGTGGAACCTGCTCGTGGGCATCTACCTTACATGTGGGCATCTACTTTACACGTGGGTACACACATGCTTTGGCTTTTCTCTCTTGTCCAGCTGTTGTGTTGATTGTTCATTTCATTTGTCTATACTCTGCTGTTGTTACCTACAACCAGTGGAGATTTCCAAGGTTTTAAATTGTTTTTTTTTTTTTTTAAAGATTTTATTCATTTATTTGAGAGAGAGAATGAGAGAGAGCGAGCACATGAGAGGGGGGAGGGTCAGAGGGAGAAGCAGGCTCCCTGCCGAGCAGGGAGCCCGATGCGGGACTCGATCCCGGGACTCCAGGATCATGACCTGAGCCGAAGGCAGTCGCTTAACCGACTGAGCCACCCAGGCGCCCTAAATTGTTTTTCCCATCACACCTCAAGGAACATGCCAGGTCCCTATACACCTGGGCATTGTAAACCACATCAGGGGCTCATCCTCATTCCTCCCTCTAGGCCACATATAAAACCTGATTCAGGAAGCTCCTCTTGCTTTCAGGACAGGAAGACTGAGCTGGCCTAAAGGTGTGGTGGGTTGAGGTTCATCAATTTTGGGGGGAGGAGGGGTCTACTCCTTTACTGTTATCCTCCCCAGGACCACCACCAAAGCCAAGGAGAGTCTTGATTTCCTTTCCCCAAAAAGGCGCCACCTCATTCCCAGGCAAATGTGGGAGGACAGGACCTCAGGCTGGACCCACCATTAGGTTCTCCCTTCCCCAGCCCGGAGCCAGGAAGAGGGAGAGACCCATGGTGATGGATGGATGGATGGAAGGAAGGATAGACAGACTGAGAGGGCCAGAGAAAGTGGGATCGGGAAGGGGCTACTCCAAGCAAAGCCCCACTCCTTCCAGTCTTGCCTCTGGGGGTAGGCGAGGCATAACTGACCATCAGGGCCAGGGCGGTGCTGAGCCAACCCCAACCCTTTGTGGAGTAGTCGAGTACACATCATGGGTTCTCAGCACTGCTGAAGCCTTGTGTTTCAAGGCTGCCATGGCCACAGACACCTCTTGGTCCTCTTGGCCTTGGTTTCCCAGCAAGCCAGTGGTGGCAGGAAAGGGTAGGAGAGGAAAGCACCCCTGCCCTGGGAGCCTCGAAGGCTGTGCCAGGAGAGTAGCCAGCCTGGGGTGGAGGCAGCCGGGTCCCGGGAGTGGCTGACCCACACATCACAGAAGCTCCTGTTGAGTCGCACCCCCTAGAAGAGAGCATCGAGATCCCAGAGCAACGCAGGGGGGCCATGGGCTTCAGGGGCCACCCCCCAGTAGACTGGGCTGGTTGAAAGGGTGAGCACTGGGGGTGGAATGTGGGGTAGTAGTGGGGCCACGGGCGTTCCCACACTGCGAGTGTAGATGGGCAAGAAGGCGGTGGGGCAGCTCCCCAAAGTGAGGCCCTGTGACTCCCACCAGACAGTCCCCCAGGGCCTGGGGTACCCTGCAGTAAGTGGCGGGGCCAGGCTCTGGGCTTGGGAGAGGGATGGGTCCCCCCCTAGGAAGTCTCCCCCTCTGCTCTACTGGACCCGGGGAGGGGGCAGAGGGGCCCCAGTGGCCGCTCAGAGGGCAGGGGTGGAGTGGGCACTGCCTCCTCCCCCCTGTGCCCAGAGCCGGCTGGACCTGGACTGCTCCATGGCACCTCCTCCCAGGGGCCCCCAGCAAAGACTTGATGCTGAAGCCCTCGCCGAGTGGTGGCTGAGCACCGGGCGGCCGGTAGGGCCCGCGGTGCAGTGCGCAGAGGCCCGGGTCCTTGGCAAACTCCCCGCACAGTGTCATGCTCGGCCACTACAGCACCTGGGCTGGGAGCAGGCTCACAGTGACCCCCCAGACGTTGCCCTTGGCCTAGAGCTTCACAGGATCTTTAGGCACCTTGCAGAAGCATCAGTTGGAGGAGAGGTTGTGGCGGATGGAACCCTCCCAGCCCTTCTAGTCCTTCCTGAAGAAGGGGATGTGGCCCGGACCTGACGGGTAATCCGGGTCAGCTTCAGCCTGCGGGAGGGTGTGGGCTGGATCAGTGAGGCAACGCAGGGGGGCACTTGCTATGTCACAGGTATCCCTTCTTCCTCCTCTTGGGAGGTGGGAGGACAACTCCCACCTGGGAAGCCCCAGGCACGGGTTGCTGCAGGTCTCCATGCAGGGGAGACCAGCAGTGTGGGCAGGGGCCTGGCCCCGTGGAGGGCGCAGGGCAGTGGGGCAGTGTGGTGAGGCGGGGCTGGGGGTCATCAGTTTTTAAAAAGAACTTCAATGGTTATGGACTTACAGAGCACTTCTATGCCAACTTCCTCGTAGTTTTTTTTTTTTTTTTCTTTCAACTTCCCTCATATTTTAGACAAAGAAACTGAGGCCAGAGGGTCAAGTAGCTTGCTCAGAATCACACTGTGGTTATTGTGATAGCCTTGATACGATGTTCAGGCCCCCTGGCTCCCTGTACAGTGCTCCTTCCCTCTCTTTGACTTACTGTGGCCTGTCAGTGAAAAATAGCATTGTGCTTAAAAGAGTACAGACTCTCAAGCCATGCTGCAAGGATTTGAAACCAAGTTCTTCTACTTGCTATTTATGTGGCCTTAGGCAGGTTCGTTCATTTCTCAATGCCCCAGTATTTCCACGTTTAAAATGGGACTATTGGGAGGATCAAATGAGTTAATATAAGTGAAACACTTAGAACAGTGCTTAGCACACAATCAGTACGTTATTATTATTATTATTATTATTATTAATTAGTCAGCCAATGAGCGAGGATTCATTGATCATTTATCATCTTATGTTCCTTGGTTCTATAGTTTGGGAGACTTTATGTCTTCTGAAAGCCAATCATACCCACTGAATCTTTCCTTAGGCACAATTCTACCACCTGACACAGAAGCCCAATGATTAGAGGCCTCTGAGATTGTCACTAATAAACTGGTAACTGCTCTTGATTAAGACGTCTACCCTGTATGGACCTAGATAATGGCTGCCATTCCTGGATCTTTTCACCCCAGCTTCGTGATGTGAATATCATGGGGACATATTCTAGATCTCAGCTAAATTTAACATACAACTCCCTTTTCCTGCCAGGCCCATCACCCTGTCCCAGAAGGAAAACAGATGAGTATTTTGCCTGTCCAGAAATGGATACTTGTTACATTTTGGTAGTTAAAGGAATGGACCTTGCTGGCATTTGGATTGGAAAAGAGCCCTGAACTGTTCTCTGTAATTTGCTGCTTTGTAACATTTAAGGCAGATTGTCTTATAATTTTCTTCCTTCTTGTCTTATGGTTGGCTTATTTCAGTGAAGAAACCACAACCCCAAAGCCATAAATTTTCCTTTTATGGATTATAGGTAATTCTTTTAAAGATTATTTTAAAGAAAACATAATAACCACATAGAATGTTCAGAAGAAAAAAGAAAAATCACTATAATCTCACTACCCTAACATAGCCTGTTTTCATTTTCTGTACCTTCTCCCCAGACTTTTGATCAAACTCATGTATATTTTAGAATCTCATACAGACTTTATATCTTATATCTTTTTTAAGATTTTATTTATTTATTTGAGAGAAAGAGTGGCAGAGGGAGAGGGAGAAACCAGCTCCCCACTGAGCAGGAAGCCCAATGCGGGGCTCGAGCCCAGGACCCCAGGATCATGACCTGAGCCTAAGGCAGACACTTAACCAACTGAGCCACCCAGGTGCCCCTATATCTTATATCTTAAACATTTGCAGTTGTTGCTATTGTCTTTGGGATGATCATTGTTAATGACTTAGTTGAGTAGGTATACCATTGATTGGAAACCTGATCACCCATTGTTCAAATCTTCCAGGTAATTTTGGTTTTAGTTCTGGTTATTATATCTGAGTAATTTCATGCTTGACTTTTAAAACCTTTTTATTCTGAAATAATTTTAGATTTACCCAAGAGTTGCGATAACAGTACAGAGAACCCCATTGGCTCTTTACCTAGCTACCCCGAGTGTAAACATCTTACATAACCATAGAATAATTATCAAACCCAAGAAATTAACATTTGTACTCTGTGATTGACTAATCTACAGACCTCATTTGAATTTCATTGGTTTTCCCACTAATGTCCCTTTCCTGTTCCAGGATCCGGGCCAGGATCCCACACGGCATTTAGTCATGGCTCCTCCAGTCTGGGGCAGTTCCTCAGTCCTTCTTTGTGACCATTCTTTGTCTTTGGTGACCTTTACTCTTTTGAAAAATACTGGCCAGATATCATGGACCGTGTCCCTCAGTCTGGGTTTTCTTATGATTGGATTGCACTTACGCATTTTTGGCATAACCACGGGGGTGATGGGCCCTTTTGTGGGTATCAAGCACTTGATACTGATATGTCTGATTACTGGTGATGTTAACTCTCATCTCTGACTTTGAGGCTCTCTTGGAATGTTGCTTAAGGAGAGATTCCAGAAATGGGATTCCTGGCTCAAAGGATGTCATCCTAACTTCTTCTCTTGACTAGTTAAGACCTGTGAAATGCTACCAGCCTAAAAATATTATTAGGGCCCAGGGTGGGGAGATCTTTGCCAAAAGTCAGAAAAAATATGCTGTAGACATAGAACATCCAAGGTGGAGCCTTGTGTTAGTGAACCTTGGGCCTCATTCTGTAGGTTAATCTATATCTTATCACTAGATGAATTTTGTTTATGAATTACAGAAAACTCTTTTAAAGATTATTTTAGAGAGAATATAATAACAACACTATCCATGGTTATAGTAATATAGTCCAGTCTGATTGCAAACAGCACTAATAGTCCTCATATCATCCAGTAGGTGTCAGGCTGATTTCGTTGGTCAGCTCCGTTTGTGGGTGTAACATCCTTATTGTTCGTTATTTATTTAGCGTAGCCATCTGCTTATATCTTTGATAGGTCAGAAGGTGTGTTCACCATGTTCCTTTCTATATGACCAGACTGGCTTTGCCCTATCCAGTAGGAACTAACTGGCATGAGCAACCATACAAGGCTTCAACACTACCTATATCTCAAGAAAGACACAGATTGACAAAAATAAGCTCTTAAATGCAGGTTGGTAGAGCAGAGAGACCTTGGGAACAGGATGTCTGCTCTGCCTTCTCCCTCCACTCATCCCAGCTCAGCCTCTTCAGGAACTGGCTGTCTTATCCAGCTGGGCATCAGCTAAATGTCCAGGGGAGGACATTGGGTTCCTCAGGGCTGGAGCTAGAAGTGGGGCACCAGGATCCAGCTGGGCTTCCAAGTCAGAAGCTCCCAGACAGGGGAATCAAGAGGGTTTAGGTAGGATTAGCCCAACACTACAAAGGCCTGAGCAGACTTGGGTAGACTAGGGAGAAGGAGCCCCTGATGGAAGGTCCAAGTGGCTTAGGTGAGTGTCAGGCTCCATATTGTTTGTGGCTCACTATTGTGGGCTGGTCTTGGAATGGGACACAGATGGGTCTGGCTGGCTCAAAGGACCAGAGGTGAAGCCTAGGACAACTTTTACAGGAGTTGTGACCTGATGAAAACCTCCTATCTGTTTGCCATGCCTGGTTAGATGTGGGCCTAAGACTTTCTCTCTCCCCAGGTGAACAAAGCCCTGAAGCAGAAGTCAGACATCGAGCACTATCGGAACAAGCTGCGCCTCAAAGCCAAGAGGAAGGGATATTACGACTTCCCCCCGGTGGAGACGAGCAAGGCTCAGACAGAAAGGAAAAAGATGTACGAGAAGACCCAAAAGGAAATCGAGCACGTTTTGGATCCAGACCCAGAACTGTGTGCCCCATTTGCTGAGTCTAAAAACAGGTACAGTGTCTAAGGGATTCTCTGATGGTCCCTGTACTGTTAGTGAGATGTGGGCAGAGGGTGCCCTGGGTAACACAACCCTGGTCCCTCGATCTGTTACCTTAGGACTGTGATCTTTGCTGGCTGCTGATCTGGACCATGCTGGTCTGTGTGAGCTGGTGCTCCATAATGAGTTTAGAAAAGAATAAAATTGAAGCCATTAAAAAAAAAAAAATACTTGGGCAAACAACCATAATCGTCCTTTAGTTCAATAATATTTCCAAACCAGTAGCCATTTCAGAGCTGGGTGAAGACATAATTATCACCTACCTGGTTATGCAACTTCCAGATCAAGGGACATTGTATTTTTCAATTAATTAGTGGCTCTTGCGTAAGAAATGCAAATTTCATGCCTCACCTTTTTATTCAGCTTCAGTAAGTACTTACCACACAGCTACTCAGAGCTCTGTGCTGGGTTCATCTCTTTAATTCATAGATTTGTTCATTTATTTGACATTTATCATCACCTACTATGTATGAGGCACCTTGCAAGCTGCTGAATGCTCTCATGGTCATGTATGCTTTGTCTTATGCATTCATTTGTTCATTCCACCCATTCAGCATTTTATGGTAGGTAAGACAGCCCAGTCTCCACTCTCGTGGGACTTAAGGTCTGATGAGAGAAAAAAGATAACTATCCCAGAAGTTTGTTACTCACAAGTGCAATGGGTGTTTGCCATGTGATGGTCTCTGGCCTCAGAGGGAAGGTCAGTCCCAGCGGTTTGAATTGGTATTATCCCCAAACTTTTTTTTTTTTTTTAAGATTTATTTTTTTATTTGAGAGAGAGAGAGTGAGCAGGGGGAGGGGCAGAGGGAGAGAGAGAATCTCAGGCAGACTCCCCATTGAGCATGGAGGCTTCACACAGGGGGCTTCACACAGGGCTCAATCCCACAATCCTGAGATCATGACCTGAGCTGAAATCCAGAGTCGGACACTTAACCAATTGAGCCCCCAGGCACCCCGGCATTATCCCAAGCTTTGTTCCTCACTAAGCAGAGAGTGACCTCACCTACTGGGTAAAGGGGAAGAGGTTAGCAAAGCTAAACATGACCATCTTTCTTCTTTTCCACCCTACCCTAAAGCACCTCCTTGGAAGCACTTTCATGGTTTGAGACCATCCCTTTCAAATATACATTCTCCTTGGCAACAGCCCCTTGGCTTTGGGCATGCCAGCTCTCTGATCCACCCCGTACATCGTATTGGCAGAGGCACCCTCCGCAAATGGGGTGAGACAAGACAGCTCCTGGCCTGAGCGGCCATTGACAGGCTTGGATGGAAGCCACAAAATCAAGCTGGGAGGTGGGGCTCAATTTAATTAATGGAATTGACATAATTTATTTTTAATAAAGAGGGAATTCTAAACCAGTGCCTCATTTACAATGCTTCTAATTAGATTCAATCAGTATGATAAGCTAATGCTACAAAAATCACACTTTGACAGGGCTCAGAATACATGTGTCGCCATGTTGGTAACGGTAAAAGAAGAAGGGTATGGATTTTATAGGAAGGCTGGAGGCTTCTTTAGCTTTTATGCCACACGTGGGGATTTTGTAGTTCAGCAGTCTTTTATAGACCAGGGCAGGGGGTTGTTTTTCCCGGGTTTCCTGCTGCCACTTGGAAACTGAATCAAAGATCATGTGCAAATAAGAGGAACTTAGCTTGGACGTTACCTGGGAAATATATAAAAAATTGCGGTTGAAGCTTTTTATAAGGAGAATGGACACAACTTTTTTTTTCCCCCATAGAGATGCATCCCCACTGCCCAGCAAAAGTTCAGGCCGGATCCTCAAGGCCCTTTGCTGGCCTGCTGATGTTCCGAGCGTGTAGTCCATTCTCCATGAATGTCTGTGGAAGAAATGATTGAATAACCCAAAAAATAATGTTAAAATTTTTTCAGCCAGTGAAGGGAAAAATATGGAAGACCACAAATTTGGGTGAGGTGGGGATAGGAATGGACATGAGTTCAGCAAGGGATGGGGCTGAGAAGGGAAGGATTCACAGAGAAAAAGAGAATGATGGTGACTTGGTAAGCTCTGAGGTGTCATTCTTGTCACACTGGGCCGTTGACTCCAGGGGCTGCCGCCAAGTGTGTGGTGTCCGTTCTCACACGTTGGAGTTACCTGTTAATTGCTCCTCACAGTTCAGCTCTGTGGATGTTCTGCTCTCAGTGACCTTGCCCCAGCGAGGCACGTGTGAGGGGGACTCATGCTCCAGTCCAGGGACAGCATCAGTAACCAGGATTTTACCCTGAGACCTAAATTAGATCAATCAAAGACCCCGTTTAGGTTCCAAATGTTGACTCATCCCCACATCTTTTGAAAGAGTCTTCACAGCTTTTTCTTTAAAGTCAGAAGAACACCCCCATTTTTATGTTATAAACTCTTACCCAGAGGCACAAAGGACGTCGTCATATAACTGACAAAGGTGCTGGCAGAGCCCCCTCCCTACAGAGTCCCTTGGCTCCCACTGCTCCGTGCATCCCGCATCCAGCAGCATCCTACTTCCTGCAGGCATCTATGACTGCGATCCGAGGGCTTTTTCCCGGCAGCCCCCACCGGAAATGCAGTGTAGTTAATGTGCTCCCGAGCAGCTTCAGTCAGTGGCAGATGGGAGCTGATGGGTAAACACCCTGGTGGGAGAACTCTGAGGTGTAAGCTATGCTGTCGTAATAACCACATTTTCTAGCTTCTGTGTTTGAGGCTTTGACATCTGGGGCCTGGCCGACTCTGGAGAAACTGCCCCTCCCAGGGCCATCTAGCTATTTCTGAGACAGTACAGGGCTCGCCTGCAAGTGCACCTTTAATGTGGGAACCAAACAAGCCGGAGCCAATGCCCTAACCTTCTCCTTCACCTAGGGCTCTCCCACTCTGGGTTCCAATCCCCCTGCCCTAATCACCTGCAGGCTGGGTACGACACAACTAGGAACAGCTCCTCTGCCCCAGAGATGGCTGGAATGATTCCAACAATCCACGCCAAAGCCTGTTTACCCTGTCTTGCCTGTTCCTTCCCCAAGAAACCACAAGAGAGCCTCTTGCCCACATTTTCCCCTCACTGCTACTGCCTTGTGATTGACCCTGGTGCTTCCCCATGGGGTGCCCCGTGGCAGGCCCCTTCCCCTTGGAATGGTGAGTACAACAAGCTTTCTTTTCCATGGCAGCGGCCTCCTGATCTATTGGTCTTGGCCACACCTAAATAAAGTAAAACCTACATTTTAATGCAACTATTCCCCATACTTGTCCAGTAAGTTTGAGCCCCAGTTGCCCAAAGTACTATCTCATACTCTCTTTTGGCCTCCTTCCCTTCTCTCTCATTTTTCCGCTTCCTAAGTTGTGCTTCCTGGAGCCTTTTCCCAGGTAAACTAGTTGTACTCAAATCGTCACAGAGCCTGCTTCCAGGGGAACCCAACCTAAGGCAGTAACTCATAAAGATGGAGTTACTTTGATGGAAGCAGAGCTGCTCCTCCTCAGTGGCTACATTTCATCTTTATGGAAACCTAGGTTTCCGTAGAACACAGTTTGGGAACTACTTTCTTAAACTATCCTGGGATTAAAAAGCCCCTAAAAGTGCAAATAAAATTTATTGCTATCCACCCAGCAATGTTTTCAGAGGTTAAAAAAAAAAAAAAGTTTCAAGTTTGCAAGTTTCAAAATTTATTAACTTTTAAAGAATACAGCAAAACGCCACAAGAAATGAATATACCTAAGGGAACTCTATTTGATTAAAATAAGTAATTTCTCTACCCAAGAGCCTAATTTATTTCTAAGTAGTTGCTTACGCACCAGGCACACATGAGTGGTCTGGTCCATTGAGATCCATGTTAAATAGCAGCAGCCTTTAAGCTGGCTTTCATAATGGAACATTGTCTTCAATATAAAAGGAGACTGGAGTGCACCCCAATGTCTAAGTTCTCACCCATGTTCATGGTTCTTGAAAGGGCTCACACAGTCCTGCTATTGTATTTCTAATACTTCCAAAATAGCCTACTTAAATGTCAATTGCTAATCCTAGTGTTTACTCCCCCACCACTCTTATTAGTAAATCTTTTCTAAATGGGTTAATTGGCAATCTCAGGACAGTTGTGAAGTCTGCTTTTTCAAAGAGTGATCTGTAATTAGGTCAAGGATGAGAATTCTTTGGGGGGGGGTGGTCTTCCTTAAAGTGTGAATCACTGTTTCACAAGGTTGTGCTCCATTCCTAAAGGAAGCTTTTAATTGCAGATAACTATAGGGCACAGTTTATAATATTAGGTTTAAGCTCCTATATTAGTCAGGATTCTTTGGGTTGAAACTGATGGCAATCCAGAACAAACTGGTTAAATAAAAAGAGAATTTGTCATTAAACATGAAAGGCCAAGGCTTCAGGCATGAGTAGATCCAAGGGTTCTTACAGTGTCCCCCTTATCACTCTGCTTGTTCCTCTTCAGACTCTTACCTCATAGTGGCAAACTGGTTGCCAACAACTCCCCGCCTATATCCTATCTTCTCAGAAACGTCAAGGCCAAGAGGATGCCTCTTTTCTGGTTGCTCTAGCGAAAGCCCTAAGACTCAGTCTCGTTGGGACCAACTCATGTGCCCATCCTCTGACCAATCATTGTGGCCATGGGGATGTGATGCTTGATTCTCTAGGCCAACTCCTGCAGGAAGGGTAGCCTCCAAAGAACAAAAGAGTGCTCCTACCAAAAGAAGGTCATCATGGGTATCAGGCAAGCAGAGATCACAGAGGTTCTCTAAACAGGTGTAAGCTCCTCATGTTGAGGGGGTAGGTCTAATAGTGTCTATTTTATTCCCCAGGCTAATTGCAAGGGTAGTGTTTTGCCTTGGGAGTTCTTTTTTTTTTTTTTTTTTTTTAATTTATTTTTTAAGATTTTTTTTTTTTTTTTTTTTTTGCGAGAGAGAGAATGAGAAACAGAGAGCATGAGAGGGAGGAGGGTCAGAGGGAGAAGCAGACTCCCTGCTGAGCAGGGAGCCCGATGCGGGACTTGATCCCGGGACTCCAGGATCACGACCTGAGCCGAAGGCAGTCGCTTAACCAACTGAGCCACCCAGGCACCCCTTGCCTTGGGAGTTCTAATGTCCGTTCTAAGCTAACGGCGTGTGACTGTCATGCTATGACTAACCGTGTGTGTGATCATGAAGAGGTGTGTATACGTCTACCTGCCAGGTTTCTGGCTTCCCACATAGTCACTGGGAATAAATAATGTAACCTCTTCACCTTCAACCCATGAATGAGTAGAATCTTAGGATGGAGACGTAAAACAGGTGGTGTTTGGGGGAATCCTCTGAAGACAGGTGCTATGAAATGCCAGTTGTTCACAGAGAAACGTACTGTTGGCCGGGAGGGAAGTAGCCACCTTTGTCAAGCTGCAGTACCATGTGAAACCACCCATCCCCATTGGGCCTCGCTCCCCACTTGTAAGAGTTGCCTCGTGTGGAAGAAGAAAAGCGCAGCCACAGCCCTCACTAAGTTCCTGTTTCTTTCTTCCTCCTCAAAAAGATTCTTCTAATGGCAAGTGTAAACAGTGGTGACAAATGTATGTCTTTCCCAAGGGAGCGGAGTGGAGCCTCTCCACGTGCTACTCCCTGGGCTTGGGATGTTCTGTGTAAGAATTGACATGTGACTGGCTCTCTTTGGGTCTCAGCTGAACTGTCCCCTCTCTAGAGAGGCCTTCCCTAACCATCCTATCTGAAATTGTCCGCCATTTTAGCCATCCTCTGTCACATCTTATTTTTCGTAATAGCATGCATCATCCTCTGAAATAATCACCTGAATTGTCTGTCTCCCTCATTAGAGTGGAAGCTCCAGGAGAGCAGGGTCATGTCTGTCTGGTTCACTGTGGATCCTTATCATCTTCCACAGAGCCTGGCACCTGGTAGGCACTCAGTAAATATTAGATGGATGGATGGATGGATGGATGGATGGATGGATGGATGGATGGATGGGTGGGTAGCTGAGCTCCACACTGCCTCTTGGTTCATGGCTCCTTAGCCCAGAAAGAAATCCCCTGTGGGGAAGATAGAAATGAAAATCTATCAACAGCCACAGTATTAAGTGGCCCATTAGCCGCAGGGTTTATTAACATGTCATAGAACCTGCGTGTGAAATCAGAAAGATTAAAAGGAACAACAGGCTGCTGAGTCAACAGTCAACAAAAGCAAGTTTAGAGGTCAAGGGAGAGCCCCTGACCTTGCCGGCAGCAGAATTTCACATGAAGTTGTAGCGTTGCAATTGATTATGGTTACCTGGTTTCCATAAGAAGAGTATTGACAATTAAGCCAAATGGTTACAACATCTGGGAAAACAAAACAACAACAACAACAAAACAAACTTTGATTCCACCATTCCTCTGGCCTCTGATGGCCAGAGAACAAATCACATGAATACTGAGATCTGCAAGGCAAATCCAAACCCTTCATTGGTTGCCTGTAGTTTGGATCAGTGGAGAATTCCATCTGTCAGGGCATTTGCTGCATCATAACAGTTGTTGAATTTTCTTCAGGCAACAGATGAAGAACTCTGTCTACCGAAGCCGGCAGTCTCTGAACAGCCCGAGTCCAGGGGAAACAGAGATGGACCTTCTGGTGACTCGGGAGCGACCCCGGCGTGGGATCCGCAACAGCGGATATGATGTAAGTCTCTGCGGGGCTAAGGTGAATACAGGCTTTGCTTTCCCCTGAAAACAAAGGTGAGAGAGCATCCCATGTTTCACTTTACTGTGTATTTGTGGAATTTAAAAGTGCACTAAAATGTTTTCTATTTTATGATTCCTTGTTACCTATTTTGCAGAGTAAGATGACTTGGAATGTGTCAGAGTAACAAATTCTTGCTAAAAGGGTTTTGATTTCTAAATCCAACCATTTTATGAACAGTACAGTATTGATGTTAAGTCAACAGCTATTCAAAATGTCCTTAATTTTTTTTCCCTCTGTCCTTAAAACTCAGTAGGAACCACGGCTGTGGGTTAGAATTCATTTGAACACAGGCTTCTTTTAATCCATAGCAGTATTGAGAAGTTGGATTTGTTCCTGATTTCATAACTCCTCAATATGCCATGGAAACAATCAGATGTCCAACAGAGCGATTTGGTGATTTCATATGATGAAAACCATGCTTATGTGCAGTCATGTTGCCAAATGGCAGAAATTGTTCTAATCCCATCAAACTTCCCCAGATGAGGAGCTACAAGGTGGTGTCTCGAATTCACTGGCTCACATCCTGTTAACGTAGTCGCATCCCCGAGCTCATGCAAACGCTACTCTGAGGAGGTGTTCCATAATGCTTCACCCTGCCCCAGAATTTCAGATGGCCTTAAATCTACTCAGATTTTATGAAAAAGGTTTCTTTCCCATTCTCCTCAAACATTTCTCTAGTTACAAATAAAATTTTTTTGTATCAAGAATTATGATTCAAAAATGTCTGGATAAAGTTTTGTTGTAATCTCTGAGGTTGTAATTTGAAAATGACACTCAATTTCTTAAATATACCATGCTAATTTGAGGCAAGAAGGTTTTTTACCCCCTCAGGATTGGTCATTGTTTGCCACAAAAGCTTAAAGTGGGATTTTAATTGTTCCATTAAAAACAGAGATATTTTACCTAATTTGAATTTCTAGTTACCTTACACTTAAACTTGATGTTTGTGTTGGTCATGATTACCTTATCTTTTATTTCTGTTTCCCTTTTTCATATAAAACAAATTGATAGTTTAGTTTTATAAAATTCTAGATGCTTTGGGTGAATCTTTTTTCCCTGCAGGTGAAATTACTCAACATTAATTGTTCTCTTCATAAAAGTATCTTTTATACTAAACCCGGTCAGCAATTTGATAATTAGCCTGTGGTTAAAAATCAGATATTTGAATTTTCCAGTTAATCTCTCCTTACCAACAGTGAATATTCTTCCTAAGTGCCTAGTTTGGGGGACTTCTTTTGCTCCGACATACCTAAGGTATATGATAGGATTCTTAATGTATTTCAAGATTGGAATTAATGGGTCTCTTGTGAGATTCTAGGCACAGACATCTTTACAGTTTGAGGAAATAAGACAGTTTCCCTATTAGTCTTGAAAAGAGAACAGTGCAGTGTTTTTTTTTTAACCATAGACTATGCCATGACTTGCAGTAGTGACTTAATACTTTTAGAATGCCTTGTTAGTACATTACTTACGGCAACAGAAGGAGAGAGATGATTTTTAAAAGGGGGTTGCTCACCCCTCACAAACATGTATAAATATTCCAGCTATAGGTTGCTTTAAGGGAAGCCTACTGCATTCTAATAGATTTTTCTTAAATATACATGTCTTGAGAATTGCATGTGGTCTCAAAAACATAAGCAAAGATAAGCTTCCTTAAAACAAAATGATCATCTAGGGACCAGTTTTAAAAATGGTTAATGACTGTTGTCTGTAAGAATGCAGTTGCTTCCTGTTTCTTATTCCCGTGCCTTTTGTGCTGATCATATGAAAAGTAGCTATCATTTACCAACTGCACAGGATAGACCGGCCTCTATTATAGTCTTTTTATGTGAATTATCTAATGGAATTTGCACAGTCACCAGTTAGGTAGGTACCCTCCTTACACCCATTGTACAGATGAGGAAACCCGAGGCACAGAGCAGTTACATCGTTTGTCTACCCAACTCCAAAGCCTCCCCTCTTAACCACAATGCAGTAGGGCTTCCATAAAAACCCATCACTCTGTATATTTGTCTTCACATGATTGTATGTCCTATACTTCTGATCTCAGGAAGAGGCTGGATGGCAGGTGTCACAAGAACGCTTGCACAGACAACTCAAGCCAAAAATGGACCCGCAGATGAAGGAGGAAAAGACGAGAGTCATGGCTTTAAACAATGCATTCGTTTTCTGAACTTCTGATTTTCCAAAAATGCTAGGGCACCTCTGACAAAAGACTCCCATTAGCCCAGCAGTGAACAGGTCAGTCAGTTGGAAGCATGTCATTCTTCCTACTGGGTCTGGAGATCTTGAAGCCAGGCCCAGATTTCTAGTCATTTCTGCCAGATTAGGGAGCATCAGGGGGGACCTGCTCCTTGACAGGTAGAAACAGAAGCACTGGGAGACTGATTTAATTTCTCCAAAGCTGACCGCGTTAGAATCCCTACAGGAAAGGCGGCATATAAAAATAAATGAGTAAATAAATAAAGAAGCACACACACACACACACACACACAACACAGGCAAATCTTAGCCCCAGGACTGAGGGCAGCCTGGATTGTTTGAAAATGTTTGCATAGAGCAGGATGTGTTGGGACCTGCCCAGGAGAGACTCTCAGCTCCAAGGGGTGTGGGAATCACTGTGTTTTGCCCCAACAATTCTTAACCTCTTAGTCCCCCTAACAGCTAAGGGATGCAGCACACTCCTGGTGGTTTCTGTGGCTCACCTGGCTAGTAATTTTCTAGAAGGCGGCACCCCCTTTAGATGAAGGCATGATTTTAGAAAGATGGCCAGACCAGATCTTTAAACTAACTTTGGCATTGAAATGAATTCCTCCCAGTGCATGAAGCAGGTAGAAAAGATAATGTCAGACTGATATTTAAAATAAAAAATACCTCTATTTCAAAGTATTTTTTTAAATGTTATTTTCTGAATAAAAGTCATATAGAAAATAATGAAGTGGTGAGGGGGGGAAAGAAAATGCCCCGCATGTGAATTCTCAGGCAGAATAAAGATCCAAGTGATTTTCCCTCTATCAGGCAAATTAGTAATCCCTTTATGTCGTTGAGGAATCAGCCTTTGCTTCCAGAGGACAAGGAATAATCAAATCATTCGCCAGAAATACTAATGCACCTCCTCAACCTCGATTTGTGTTTGGAATTTTAAAATGTGGCAGGAATGGGGTCAGCTAAGCGCCTTGGCTCTGAGGGAGACTCAAACGGAATGTTTGAATTATACCTTTGAAAATGAACGCTCCCCTCTAGAAGTGGAGACCTCTACAGGCTCCTTCCCTTAGGTTTCCCTCCAGCACCTTGTCAAAGCTCCACACCTTGGGGTGCTCACAGAGCCTTCACCGGAAACCCTGAAATGTGGCCGGAGGGTTTGAAAACATTGAGAAGGATGATTGATCCCTTGATGCCTCTCCGAAGAGAGGATGCTGAAGGCTCCACTGTAGTGACCACAATCACCAGTCACTCCAGAGGTGTTCTTCAGGGAAACGTTTGGCAATGTTAGTGGAAAACCAGATGGTTTCGCAATTGAGAAGTAGACATAAACCTACAAAAAGGGATACTATGTCAGGCAAGGTTCTGCTGCAGAAAACAGAAAACCTCAAGCCTCGTGAACAGACCAAACATGACTGTGAGGAGTTTAGGCGCTCACCAAATCACCAGAGGGCTGGCAGAATGTTCTGGGAGAGGCTGAGAACAAAACCACAGGGCTGGCCCTGACCAGGGCGGGGGACTGCCTCTAACCCGAGCAGGACGGCGGGAAAGGAGGGGTCTGCCCGGGAACTACCAGGGAGCAGACGGACTGTACTCAGTCTGGCATGCACACCAGGGCCTTCACCGACAGAAGCCCAGGCTCGGGCACAGCCCCCGCCTCACAGAGGGCCATGAGTGAGCGTTGGCCCGTCAGCCTCGGCACCGCAGGAATGCACGCTGCCAGGAGGTTGCCGAGTGCCCGCCCACCGTCCCCACCACAGGTGCAAGAGAGATGAGAGGAGAATGACCAGGCAGAGCAATATTTGGGAAGCCGTGGGGAGAGCTAGAGGAGGCAAGGATGGCTATGAGGAAGATGAAAGCATCGCCTGGAGCTCAGTGCCCAGCCACCCGCTGAAGGCCTGGGTGCGCCGTGTGGTGTGTGACTGGGCATCATTTGCTGGCCTCCCTCAGCTCACAAGGCAGCCAGCTCCCTCTGTCCCAGGTGAACAGCGGTTACTAGAAGGGAAGGAGGCTAGAGAATCAGAGCGGTTGTTTGATGGGTTCCATCGCAGAGGAAGGCAATATGATCTGGAAAGCCCTGGCAGCCTGTGGTGGCTTATAGCAAGTCTGGGGCCTTCTACGTAAATATTATTAGCAGAAGTCTCTCCTCCTCCCTCCCCACCCCTGCGCCAGCATCTTATGGCTTTGGCCTGATAGCAGAGACTCTCATCAGGAAAGGGCAAGGCTGCCCTAGCACTGCATGATGTGCCCAGTTAAGGGTACAACCAGCTCTTGGTTTCTTTGGGAGGCAAGTGGTTGGATTTGAGGACTTGGTCCTTCACCGCAAAGGCAACCTGCTTGTTGCCCTCTGCACTTGGTGCTCTTGTGTTGACCCCGCCCTCACCACCTTCACCCCCTTAGCATCCCACCCAGAACTGTCTCACATGTGTGCTCCCTGCTCAGCCTTTAGTCTTTTCCTCTTGCCTCTGCCAGCTAGCTTAAGCGATTGGTAAGCCTGGCTTGCTATGTCATCTCAAGTTAATGTAGGGGCTTTTAATCCTAAGGAAATAACAGTACTAAGAAGTCAGACTCCCTGGTTGAGCCCAAGGCAAAGAGGTGGAGGGGTTTGGTGGTGAAGGGGGCCTTGTGGTGTAGGCCACATCTCCCCCAGGCTGTGGCTGTCCAGATACTTGCTAACCCCACAGAGATGGATGCCACTTGGCAAGGGGGGCAGGAGGTGGATTCTGGTTGGCAAG